ACTTAATAATTATAGTTGATACTTAGTGACCCCGTGAGAGTATTAATGGTTCTCAAGCATTCTAGATGAATTGCAGTCGTTCTAAATTTTGATCCTGGCAGCACAATAATATGACTTTGTAAACATGAACAACTAACCATCTCCTTTTTATCAGCATCTTTGGCTTTTTCTTTTTTTACATAATTTTTATAAAGATCAAATTAAATCTGTAATTTACATAATTTTATTTGAAATGGCATAATTCTAAAAGTAAACTCACCAAATTATGTAGCTAAAACAGCACATTTGATCACTTCAAAGTAAATTCCTTTGCTAAGGTCACTGAAGTAATTGAGGACTTACTGAATTTAACTCTGTTTAGTATTTTGTTTTAGTTTGTTTCTTGAAATCGTGAAAGTTTTTTCTTTGGGTTAGTATTTTCATAATGGAGAAAATAATTATAGAAGTTATGATCTGCTTTAAAAATACTTACCTTGCCATTATTGTCTACAGTCCTACTCCTTTTTCCTTACAGAAGTGAAGTGATGAGGGTCAGTTTTGATACTTAGGACTTCTGGGGGTGGTATGAAAGTAGGCTTCTGATGGTGGTAGTTTAGGGGAAGTGAGAAATAAAGATTTTCAAAAAACACTCTAGTTTAGAAATTCCAGGTACAAGCTATTGTGTAAGACCAGATAGAAGTTGACTAGAACTCAGGCAGTGGCAGTGTAAATTTGTTAAGAACAGATTGGAGAAACAGTTAACTATGCAATTGCTGCTGACTGGAGATTGAGTGGGAAGGGAAAATCAAAGGTGACACTTGGGTTTATTCTATTGATTAGGTAAATGATGATTAGTATTAACTGACATGTGGGGCTTAGAAAGGCTAATTGGAGAAGGAATGTCTAATCAGGTTTAGATGTTTTGGAGGGAGAGATACTTGAGCTACATATATATGGACATAAAGGTAGGTATTTGAAAATGTGTTCCTTTTTTAAAAGATGTTATTTATTTATGTATAGAACTGGGATGTAGTTTAGGGGTGCTGGGAGGTTGTGAGAGGATTTACCAGAGACAGAGTGGGAGGTAGTACAGGTGGATCCAATACACTGGTAGGGGGTGCAGTGGGGGAGTGGGGAGAATATGGTTTAGTTCCCTGGATGAGGATTGGATTTAGGCCACAACAGTGATAGTGTGCTAAGATTTAACTACTACTCCACCAAGGAGGCCCCTGAAAGTGTGTTCTTTTATATCTTAAGAGAAAGCAGGAGCCAGTGGTACAGATTTCAGGTTACTGATGTGTAGTTTTAGATCAAGTTCTAAGGGATGGGAAGATTATTCAAGGAAAAAGTTAAGTGCGATCTGATAAAACCAAAATGGAACCTTATGCAGTGCCGCCATACAGAGGAGGAGGTAAATGGAATTAAGAGAAAAATGTAGAGGTGAGAAGAGAATGGTGGAGAAAGTAAAAGTGAGCACCTGGGAGAGAAGATAAATGGAACAGAAATGACACAAGATAAATATCAAGTAGATCTGAAGAACTAGAGGTCGGTGTGCTAGGCCTGATTACCTGATTGTACAAGGCAAGTCATTTACTTTCTAGCCATTAATTAGGTACACTAATCAACTTAAGGCTTTTTTTTTTTGAGTAAGTTTTCCATTTAGTTAAGTGGATACCCTTTTAAGAGTATTTAAATTGTGCCTAGTAAGATCACATGCCAAACTCATTGTCTCAAAAGATTGTGTATTTCTTGTGTTTTAAATTGAAAAGACCTATTTCTTTCCCTTCCTGGGCCTCCACGAATACATGCCTTACCTGGAGAACAAAGTAGTAATGTTTGCCAGATTAGTAAAATACATTTAAAATTTTGTTTTTGTAATATATTCAGTTTTGATTAAGTTGCTAATTAAACATGTAGATCATTTGGAAAACAACTATCACATCTGAACTGAAGTGTGGTAAATTTTTGTCCATTGAGAATTCTCCTCTATTTCTTTCCTGCTATGTTGTCTTACAATATCAGCAATATGAGGAAAATGTTGGATCCTGGAGATTTTGTAGGAGGAAACACAGTTGCTCATATTGAAATGTGTGCTTTTGTAGATCTTTGAGCTTCACACTGCTTTTTCCAAGTACCCAGGTGAATAGTCTTAGACAAGTTTTTAAAATATATCTAAGAACTGACTGGAATTCTTAGAAAAAATGCTAGAGATTTTCACACCTAGTGTTTGGCATTGAAGAATTGAGAATGTCTTCTAAATTTCAGTAATTTATCAATCTCTTAACTATCAAATGCTTTATAAAGAACTCGTGTTCTTATTTTGTGTAATTTATGTATATTTTTGAGTCTTAAAAAGTTTTTGTTTAGAGAGGTAGCTAGAAATTCTTCTCAGTCTTTGAATATCATGAATCATTTGATCAGTGACTCAACACTTTGTAACTGATGTTCTTAAGTGGCTTTTAAAAACACTTTACCTTTTCTTTGCTTAGTTTAGCTAGTCCATGCTAATGAACCTTACTAACCTAACAAAATATGCCTTTAAAGAAAATTACTATAAAAACTTACATTCTCTAAATATATCAAGCATGAATTATTAGTTACTTGACAAGAAGAAATTTGAGTGGGAACAAGAATTTATGATGTGACGTTTTTGTTCCAGTGTTGTGATGCTATATGAGCTTTGTATTAATATTTGAAAGTTTAGTGTTGGTAGCAAAACTTATTAAAATCATGGAAAACTTAAGGTTTTTGGTTGATTTTCCAAAATTATTTTCCCCACAACTCAAGCCTTCTTTTATCATCTCAAATGAGTTTGCTAACACTCAACTGTTCAGTAGTATTAATTTTCTGGAGTTTGTTGAGGGCCAGGAAGTAAGCATACAGGCTTCTGAATAACCAGACTAAAATTTATAGTACTCACACAGTAGGTACTTTATTCCCCAAAATTGAAACATTGAAATCTGGAAAGGGCATCATTTAAGTTTTATATATTACAGATTAGAAGCAGAAAAATGGGTGAAGCTACTATAATAGATTTATATTCATTTGAATTTGTTCTCATTGTCCTTAACAGTTTTCAGTGTTACATTTAGTACATTTGATTGAGCTCAAAATGAATATATAGTAGGCACTCAGATATTTGCATAAATTTAATTTTATTGTAGCTTAATTTCTAGCTGTGTAAAAACACTTTCATTCTTAAAATGGGTTTAGGAGAAGTAATTACTGTAACAGAGTAATACATCATGGTTACTAATCTGTGAAAACCAGGGACTTGATTTTGAGTGTTTATTTGAGGTCACAGTTAAGTATTCAGAGGCGTATCAAAAACAGTTTGTGTGTACAAGTTAGATTGGAGATAGCTGTTGGGAATCACTTGTCTCAAAATACAAATCTCTTTTAATGCCTTCAAAGGATATCCCCAGGGAGAGAATAGAGACAAAAGTTCTTTTAATTCATATTCATTGAAAAATATTGATGCATTTTTAGTGAAGTCATAGTTGATAATAATAATAACAATCTGGGTGTTATTGGTATATTTAGGAATTTTACTCTTAGAATCTCTGACTTTCATTGTTGATTGAAATGGAGGATTATTATTATCTAGGTTATTGCTTTCTTTTAAAAAATATTCCTGCTGTTTGTTTGTTTTGTCTAAATATAATGAAATGTATTTAGGTATCTGTCCAGTGTACAATTGTGAGTTAACATCTGTGTGCTAATTTTCAAATAGCCAAATGCATTCTTAGCTTCTCTTTTGAGGAGCTCTCATTTCCCTTCAGATTATAGAGGACAAAATCATTTTAAAACCCTTAGCTTGATATTTATAGACCAGAGAGTGGAAACGTTAGCTATCAAAAATTAATAGTAATTATCTTGAATAATAAGATTTAAATTTTCTTTATAGATGTTTGTTCTATAATTTTTATACTTTTTTATAGAAAGTATAATACCTATTATTAAAATACTGTCTAGAAATTGTTTTGTTTTTCATGTTGTCATATGTAATATGTGAGAAAAAAGAGAGCCTTTTTAATAAATGATGCTAGGAAACATGTAATTTCTCCATCATATGGCCATAATTCCTTTGTCAAAAATTAGCTGTCCATATTAATGTAGAATTATCTCTGGGGTTTCAGTTCTATCCCATTGATTGGACTTTCTGTTTTTGTTCCAGTATCATACTGTTTTGATTACTACTGCTTTACAATACTGTTTGAAGCAGGAATTGTGATGTCTCCATTTTTCCTTTTTCTTTCAAGATTGTTTAAGCTCTTTGGAGCTGGTACTTTAAACCTACAAGTTAAAACTTAAGTAGAAAGTCTGATTTCAGAAAATTATGATTTCATTTTAATGCCAAATACAGCATTATGTTTCCCAAATCATGTCATCAACATGATTTCAAAATTTTCATATTTTACAGCTTGAGTGTTTTCCTTATTTTTTAAATGGGTTTTTAACACATTGCACATAGCAGTACTGTTTACAATTTGCCAAAACATGGAGCCAAACCAAGTGCCCTTCAGTAGATGAATGGATAAATTGGGGAGCATATAATCATTGGAATATTATACAGCTGTGAATTAAGATGAAGTGGTAGCATTTGTCGCAAAATCGATGGATCTTGAGGTGATTATGTTGACTGAAATCATTCAAAAAGTGAAAGACAGATTTCAGATGGTTTCACTCATCTGTGGAATATAAATGCTTAAACAGTTATATATATTAGATGAAATAAAAATTTGAACTCAAAAAAGAAGGTAATGGTTAACAGAAAAATAGAGAAAAGGGTTGAGGGGTTGGGAAGGAGGCAGATGACATATGGGCATAGATGGTTTGATGGAGTCTTAAAAAAAAATTCCCCATGACTAACAGTGATCTGGGAGAGCAGGAAGGCTCGAGCCATCCTGGATATCTCACGCAAAAAAACCCCAAAAAACAAACAAAAAACCAGAAAAATTTGTTAGCTTTAGAAATATAATGTCATGTAATGAGACAAACTTTATTTTATTTTGATATAGCTTGCCTTGAAAGGCTCAAGCTACAGTGGACTGCTTGAACGACATCATATTCATACCAAAAATGTAGAGCATATTCTAGAGAGTTTACGGTAAGTCTGTGGGGTTGGATGGACCTTTTTATTCAGAAGTTTCAACTTTTGTTTTTTTACTAACAGCTTATTTTTAGACTAAGTAAAAAGATTATCATTATAAAGTCATCTTCAGAAAATTAGATTATGGTCAGTGGACCATATAGTGTTTCTAAGGAAATTTTTATTGTACTCTGCAAATTTTCAGATGTTCAGTTACTTGGTCTGCTTGCAAAGTACCTTTTCTACAAAGAGTTTTGTATACAACAGGCTTTCAACTTATGTGGATAGCTGTTTAGCTGTTTTATCTCTTAAATAAATAGTAGTTTATAATGGGTATTCATTATAATAATGGAATGACTAAAAATTATTATAGAAACCAGTTAATTTGGAACTAAATGAAGTCAATAAATAAGTTTATATAAGAGAATCAGTATGAGAACATGCAAATTAGTGTTTTACTGTCTGTTGTTAGTGAATATTTGTTGAATTTAAAATAATAGCTATTCAATTTCATAATAAAAAAATGTTTGGGTCTTAATCTACTAGGTCAGTTTTGTATTAATGAATATTAGCATTGGAGGGACTAGAGAAAGTAAAATGAAATTCAGTGTATGGCTATTTGTCAAGGACTATAAAAGGTATTTTTAAAGCACATGGAAATTTGGGATCATCATTTACTTTATTCATATGCTTCTTGACATAGTTGATTTGTTAATTAAATGAAAATGAAGTTAAACTTATAAAAGCTAAATATGAGTTTGCTTATAAAACACACTTCTTTGTTTTTCAGCACCATTGTAATATCTGTCTTTCAGAAAACATACCCCTTTATGTTATAGAAATTTTATGTAAGCTTTACTTTTTTATCTTAGGAATGAGGGAATTGAGTTTCGTCTAGTAAAAAGGAGAGAATATGATGAAGAGACTGTTCGATGGGCAGATGCTGTCATAGCTGCAGGAGGTAATAGTTGTACAGAGGTAAAGATGTTGGAATATGGACATTGCTCTTGGATACATTTATTTCCAAATACCCTGTGAAATGGCTATAATGAAACAGTTTCTAATATAAGACAAACTTTTGCATTTTTATCATCAGGTTTAGGTCTAATTATGTTTTATACAATGTATTGTTTTTTTTAGCAAATGATATTACTGTGAAGGTCCCTATGTGTGTACTAAGGTATGCCTCTAACTTCAAATGTGATTCAAAGAATTACTTGTAGCTATAATTTGGTTTATGACGCCTCTCAAAAAAAATTGAAGATGTTTAAGAGGTTGAGATTGGATAAATTCCATCCCTTTAACCCTAATATACTTACATTTATTTTTCAAGAGATTTATTAAGTTTAAGTGACTATACTTTCTAAAGCTTTAAATTACAGCAGTTACAGAGAAAAACCCAAAGTTTGACACTTTGTGTTATATATTTTTATTAAAATAATTTTTGAATTTGGACTGGTAGTATGAGAGAAGGAAAGAAGATTGGCTAATGGAAGTGATGGGGTTAGAGTGGTGGTTCCAACTGGCATACTGCTGGCATCTGCTGGGTACAGGGCACTGCTAACACCCTGAAGGGAACAGCTCAGCCCTGCAGCAGAGACTCCCCTGGCGGAAAAATGTCAGTTTTGTCATTGTTTAGAAGTCCTGGATTAAAATGGGAGAGAATATAAAGATAGGAGAGAGGACGTGGGTTAGACTATGGCGAACAGGAGAGGGAAGTGATTGTTTAAACAAAAGTACCATTGTTGAAGTGGTTCTAAAAATTGGTTTTGTGACAGAAGTCTGGTTTTATCTTTGTCCCTTCAGGTGATGGCACAATGCTTCTAGCAGCAAGTAAAGTTTTGGACAGACTTAAGCCAGTTATTGGAGTAAACACTGATCCAGAACGGTAAAAGAAAATGTATTACTTTGGCTTTTTTTTTAATTTTTTATGTTATATATATGGAGCATCTATGCTTTGCTTTGCATAGCATCTGCGATTAATCTTAAGGTTTGGAAGCTTGTCTTTATTTTCTTATTGCAGTCATATTTCTGGGCTCTTGCTACAACAGTTGACTGTGGCACATGGTGTTTACGTGGAAGTTATCATTGTTCTTGGCTATAATGAATATTATATTAGAATCATGTACCAAAAACATTTGTGTGATAAAATTTAGCTATATAGCATTGGTTACCACCTTTTATATGTAGTTGTTTACAGGGATGTAGCTTATTTTTTAAGCTCAAACATGAGAATATGCATTTAGCTGGTATTAGAAAATTGTGATATGGGATGAACAAGTTATTTAGATTTGACTTCCCTGATGGTCTGAAATGTAATCTGTGGCAGAATAGAACTGTCATTGACCCAGATGAGTATTGATAAACTTTGGTATTGCTGAGAAGGATGAAGTAATAATGTTTCATCTTTATCCTTCCTGTGATTCTCATCTGCATTCCTGGTTATGCCTTTATTGATTTTCTAAGTAACCTCAGTGACTTATTGAAGGCAAATCCAAACCCTGTTCTTCCCCCCCCCCTTCCTCACCTTCACTGACATTTAACCTTCACTAAATTCTAGATACCCACAGCCATAACCTTACCTATACTTAATCTGGAATTTCCCTTCTGACTATAGGTCTTCTTATAGAGGAAGTGGAACTCACTGGATTAGAACTTCTTAAGTTTTTGCTTAAAAAATAATCTTAATTCTATCATTTATTCCTTTTTTTTCCCTGCACCCTTCACATATAATTCCTCTTAACCTAAAAGCTTAGTCAACATTCTCATTTTTCAACACAATTTATTAGATCCTTTACTGTGTCTCTTTTGCTTGGTTATTATCACTTTTTCTTCCCTTATCCTTGTGCTTGTTACCTCTACTTCCTTACTTCATAGATATTTTATAAACTTTTCTAGGTCTTTCCTGGATTTTTCATCAGGCAGTTCATTGACATTAATTTTGCTTCATAGACCAGTGATATCATTTACTAGACTTCCTGGACATTTTTTTTCCTTATTCTGCTTTCTGGAAAATTCTGATGCTCCCTGCTCCTTTTTGCATCTGTACTACTTTGGAATTTATGACACCCCTTTCTTCCTGTCTCTCATGTCTATTGCTTGGTCTCTGTCTTTTGCAAGACCTTGTATTTTAGTGCTGTAGATCTTTGACTGCATGTTGTTTACACCCCCCCATCCTCCACATTGTTCAAGGATCAACTACACAGTCATCGTATTCTGTATTACATCCCAGTCCTTATTTTATAACTGCAAACTTTGCTTTTTCAACACTTTTATCCAAATTGCCTGTCCTGCCCTAAACATTTTTCTTGAATACAAGTGTGAGTATCTGCTCACACTGTAGTTGGAGGCTTTTGCCCTGGTGAGGAAGTTTATTTATATTTAGATAAAATGTAAGAGAGTCCCATGATCTTCTCATTCCTTTGTATATGTGTATTGCCCTCATACTAGTTATTCAGTTGAGTTGTTCTTCATCATGTAAGACTGATATCTCTCTCTGATAGACTATAATTCCTTGTACGAAGAACTCTTATACCTTCAAAGTATATTCTTCTTGATTATTTTTCTCTTCTGTTTGTAAATTCCTTGAGTATAGGACTTTGTTTTTAATTTCTTTTATCACTGCTTATTGACTTATAGTCAGTAGACCGAACATTTGAAAAAAGAATGGTAAGTGATCTTAGAGAACAGGTTTTGGCCCAATTGAGTGTTTCCTGAGCATAAGTAATAGAGAGCATTGATTCACTTCTTATTTTTTGATTACCTTCAGTATTGACATATATGTATTTTAAAACATGGCATATGTCTTGTTATTGAAATAAGAAATTCTTTAGTTATCACATTTTATACTATTTGTTGAAATTTATCTTCCTTTACTGACTTAGTACTCAAACTTATGGGGGTTTTGAAACTGGCAGGCAGTAGTATTGTCTCTAATTTCTTTCCAGAATTATAAGCTTTAGAATTCTTTATCTCAAGCAGAAATGTTTTAAGTCTTCCAATGTATTATGTAATTCAGGGTTCCTGGTTTCTTTTTTCCTAGTGGAAAAAGAATGCCTCACAGTCCTTAAATAAGGCCAGAAGTTAATGTTGAATTTGTTTCTTCTCTGTATTATCAACTATTACATAACAAATCACCACACTTAAACAGTAATAGTCATTAATTAGTTAATCTTTCATGGTTTCTGTGTGTCAAAATTCAGGAACAGTTTTTCTCTGGGTGGTTTTGGCTTGGGGTCACTCATGAAGTTATGGTCAGATGCAGCTGGACTGTAGGCATCTGAGGACTTAACTTGTGCCAGAGAGTTCACTTCTAGGATGGCTTACTCACATTGACTCATCTAAATTAAATATAATTTTCTGTATACGTCTTATTAATTCTGCACTAGTAAGTAGTTGAATGCTTAGTAGTAATATGGAATAGAAGGCATGTCATTGCCAGCTTCCAGGATAATCTAGTATTTGCAGTTTTATGTGGTTCCCGAACCCTCATGTACTATCAGGGATGGGCTATGTGGCCAATAAAATATGGTGTGACTGTGTAGCTTCCAAGACTAGGTTATTAATGGTATTTTGGCTTCTGCATTGGTTTTTTGTACTCTTTGTTCTGGGGTTAGTCCGTTACGGTGCTGTGAGGACAGATAAGTAACCCAATGGAAAGGCTCACATGGAAAGCAATTGGCCACCACCAGTTTGTTAGCTGTGCCAGTGTGCCGTGTAGAAAGTAAGTCCTTTAGCTAAGTCAGACCTTAAACTGCTTGCAGCCTAGTTACAAGAGAACCTTTTGTCTAGAATATTTCAAAACGGATATATTTTATATACTTAGCAATGTGAAAAGTATTATAGTGAATATAAAAATGAAAAGAAACTTAGATCTTACCTAAATTTCTTAACCTTGGTATTGATCCTTTCAGATAAAGAAATTACTGGCTTAATCACACTTTGTAAAAATCTTTGCCTCTGCTCTTTATACTTGTAAGTTAATAGATGGACAGCTTCCTTCATGTTAGATGCCATGCTGTCCCGTCTTCTTACAGCAGCTTATCACTTTGTAATTTCTAGTCATTTGTCTTTATTTCTGTCCTTCACATTAAACTATTAACTCCTTGAAGGAATTCATTAGCATATTTTTTGAGTGTACTTTCTGGATTCTCTTTTAGTGACTTGAAATTTCTTAACTTACATTTTAAAGGGATATATGGTTCAAAACAATTTCATATTAGTTTGACTTCTCGGGCTAACCTTTTGAGAATGGTAGTTTGGAGATGTGGAAGGTGATGTTAAAGTGAGATGCAAACCCCATTGTACCACTAGATAATTTTATGAGGACTTCAGTCAGCAGGTTTGTTATTTTTATAGTTTTGCTGTGTTGTGGAAATAGTATTATATTATCTGACATTAAAGTTGGATGTAAACTTTCTTTGTTCTTGTTGGAAGTTTAAACAATTTTTGTAGCAAAACATGGAGTAAAGAATAGAAATTTTACTAAATATCTGATTTTTGTAGGATAATGATATTTTAAAAAGTAAACATTCTTTGTTTTCTTCTTCCTTTTACACCACTCCAAATCCCTTTGAAAATAAAGGTCTGAAGGTCATTTATGTCTTCCAGTTCGATACACACATTCCTTCCCAGAAGCCTTACAGAAGTTCTATCGTGGTGAGTTCAGGTATGAATTTCTTACTGTAGTTATATAAATATATTAAGAAATATGTGCCATTAACGAATTATTAACTATCGTTATAAAAGTTAATGTTGAATCACAGAAAAAGAGTATCTAACTTACTTTTTTCTTGTTCAATTGGTATGGTGTGGAGAAAGAAGCATTAACAGGTTACTGGGCCCTTAGCTGAATTGCAAATAGAGGTTCTCCTTTGGTGAGATAGGAGCTCTATCACTACTGTCTTAATCTTGTTACATGTTTTAAAAAGTTTTGTAGAAAGATTATTAAAACTGTTGCCTAAAATGCAGTGTTCAAATTCTTTGAGATTTTGTATTTTTTATCCTCATCTTTCATCTAGAATGACTGATGTTTAGAATTACTCCAGGCACATATACATACATACACACATACTGCTTTTTCTTTCTTGCATGTAAAGTGTTTCTTAAACATGGTGGATGTTTTTCATATTCTTTTTATGTAATTTGTTCAGTGGTTAGTTTCTCCAGAAGACAGGGAGGAGAAAAGGAGCTGAGATAATGCGAAAATCACAAGTTGAATTTTTTATTTCCTAGTTCTTAGATTTCGTAGTTTAGAGAAAGCTTTGTCCCAGGATATTTGTGAAATTGCATTGAATCCTGACTTCTGGAACCATTTTGTTAGTAATGATTCTGGTTCCTAGTCATTTAAAGAAGTTGGTACCTCCAGAAATGGCTACTCTGTCACCATTAAACAGGAGCACATATTTATGTGTATATCCAACAGATTCTGTCCCATGGCTCTTTAATACATTAATTTTCATTTTGAAAACAAACCCTATTTTTTTCTTTTTTTTACGAAAATGCCATTAAATTTTTTAGGTATCTTAAATGTTATAATACTTGTTATAATCTCTTTTTTTCGATATTGTAAAGAAAAGTGCACAATTGGGGGATGGATTTTTTTTTTAATTTATGACCACTTTAACACAATGTTATTTTAATTTCAGAATGCTTTTTTGTATATATTTCTTGATGAACACAGTACAGCTAGCTCATTATCTTGGCTTAGTAGATATTTGGTAAAAAGTTTAACTTTAATTCAAGTTACTTGGGAGCTTTTGCTTAAATTAGGTATTTATGTTATAATAGAAATGAGAAACATTTAAATTTGCCTTTGAGTAAGAAGAATCTGTAGTCTTTTGGTATTGGTATTTCTGGTATAATTTGTTCATGGAATTACTTGTTCTTTAATGTGAATTTTTGAATTTGGTGAAATTCTAAGACTGTCTAATTCTAAGTTAAAATATATCCTTTTAAAAACATAAATTCCTTTTCCTTTGCATTTCTAAGATGGTTATGGAGACAGCGTATCAGGTTGTACCTTGAAGGGACAGGCATAAATCCTGTTCCTGTGGACCTTCACGAGCAGCAGTTAAGTCTAAGTCAACATAGTAGAGCCTTCAATATTGAAAGAGTCCATGATGAAAGTAAGTGGATTGGGTGTTACATGTGTTTGGGGCAGTCGTACCTTATTTGGTTAAACTTGTAGTTATTTTGATCTCTAATTTTTAGAAGTAATTAGTTTACAGTCAGTTTGTTCTGGGATTTTAGTGCCACTAACTACATCAATAAAAGTACAGCGAACTATTTCAGCTGTAAAATATATTATTATTAGACTCTGAATGAAATATAGGAATATAACCTACTCCTAGTAGAAATATTTTCTAGGACAGTTTGAAAACTTAGTTGATCAGGAAATTTATAAAATGTCTGAGAGGCTAGTTGATTTTAAATAAAGGATCTTATTTTTAATTTTTAAAGTACTGCAGGGGAAAAAAAGCAAGCAGTAAAAATAAAACGAGTTAATTTGTGGAAAATTAAAGTTATACATTTATATATTTATTTTTAAGTATATTTAACATAATTAGAGTTATTGATTAAACCTTTTTGTATGGAAATTTTGTACCCTACTCTTAAGATCTGTGCATTTGTGTTAAAAGAATATTAGTATAAGATGATGTGCAGTTTTTAAATTTTTAAGTGTTAAGGTGAATTCTGAACTAATTTGTGAGTTCCAAATGAGTTACGAATAGTACAAAATATTAGTCATAGTTTACCACTTTTTCTAGTAATCATAAGGTTTGTGGTTGGAGTAAATTATTTATAAAAAATCTGAAATCAGAAAAATTTCAGATTTCTTAAAACTTACACTGGAAATTGTGATTGGTATATCTAGGCACCATTTTTTTAGGGGGCTTTATTAGAAGTTTTCTTTTAATAGAGGACTTTATTTTTCTGAAAAAAAACACATGAAGATTTTTAAGGTGTATATTATTGGGTTGTTAGAAAAATCATGACACATTTTGCACAAAAAAACATAGAAAAATACATCATGGTTTTTTTGACAACTCAATGTTTAAATTCTCTTCTTGACTGGAAATAACATTTCCTAGGAAGTTGCTATGTGGGATTTTGAATAGAGAGTAGTTTTGAGATGGTAAAGTTATATTACACGGTTTGACTTTCTATTTAGCTTCCTAATTTTGAACAATAGATTATAGAGGGGAAAATGAAACCCTAGTTTTTCAACTTAAAAAAGGGGATGATATGATTTTTAACAACTAAAATTTTGTATCATAGGTAAATTTATGTATAAGTTAAGGAAGAATTTATTATATTTATTTCCATCTTCAAGGGAAGGAAGAGTTGGTTTATTATTTAAAAACTTAATCTCATAAACTAATAATTTATCTCCAAGTTTGGTTGTTTAAAGTACATAGTGATAGGTATCATAGGTAAATTTATGTATAAGTTAAGGAAGAATTTATTATATTTATTTCCATCTTCAAGGGAAGGAAGAGTTGGTTTATTATTAAAAAACTTAATCTCATAAACTAATAATTTATCTCCAAGTTTGGTTGTTTAAAGTACATAGTGATAGTGAATTGATTTGATAAACAGTCTCAGTACCTTATTAGCTTAATGTAATGATGAAGCTTTATTTCTAACTAATGTCTCTTCTTGAGGGTGTTTTGAAGCACTTCCAGATGGTGACCCCTATCATCATATAAGGCCTCTGGATGATTTCATATATATGTATTATATTAGGAATCAAAGCAAATGAACTGAGAAAACAAAACAATTATTAATTATCAGACTTTGACAACTGAAGTAAGGTTTCTAAGGTTAAGAAGGAGAGAGGAAGGAGAAAGGGCCAAAAGAAGTAGGTGGTGGGAGGAAAAACTATTAACTAATGACATAGCAGTTAACTTTATAGGCGTATATGGATATGCTTTAAGCCTGTTAATTGCCTTACTAGAGAATAAAGATTTTTTTCTCATTTGGTTAGCTTATGAAAAGAAGCTATTGAGTGAAAAGAGCAAGTCAGAGGCCTATACATAGTATGATACCATTGTTATAAAGATCACTAATATCACTGATGTATAAAGAAATATTTGTGTGTAGTAAACCTATACTTAAAAAGACTTGAGGGCCCTCCCTGGTGGTGCAGCATGTTAAAGCACAGCACTAACAAGCTAAAGCCACTTCAGCATGCGTTTGTTCCCTGCCCGGGAGGTGACCACATGGTGCTGCAGACCTCTTCTGACCTGCCCGCTGCTCCCCTCAGCAGTGTACTTTGTCAGTCTGCCTGTTCTGCTCCCCACTCTGTCTCTGGTGAATCCTCTCACCGTCTCTGCACCTCTGGTCTGTACCCCAGTTCTGTATGCATATACAAGTAAATATTAAAAAAAAAAAAAACTTGAGAGAGACGGGCTTTACTTCAGGGATCATGTTAGGTGACTAAGGTTTATATTAGGTTACTTTAAATGACAGATGCTTAATTTATGTGTTGCTGTTAAAAGATCTGATTCAGTTAAAACAAAAATAAATATCTTAATGTTTCATAAGTAGTATTTCTAAAATTTACGGAGCTATCTTGGATTTTATTTTCATTTTCATTACATGTAGGGTCTGAATCTTCAGGACCCCAGCTTTTGCCAGTGAGAGCCCTAAATGAAGTCTTTATTGGAGAGAGTCTATCCTCCAGGTACTTTTAAATGTGTGATCTTGAGTTTGGAATTTAATATTTTCATAATTTTTGATGTTCAATTTCTTTAGCTTGAGATTTGTGACTATCATGTTCATATAAAAAGGAATTATTTAATGAAATATTGCCAAAACCTTCATACATGTTAAGAGGAAAGAGGTTTTATAATGAAAAAGTTGATGAAATCCTAGGTTAAACAGCTAGTTGTTTTAATGATATCCTTTAAAGCTGAAAAATTTGCTTATATTTATTTAGGATCCAATTAAGGGTCATGTATTAGCATATAATTTGGCATTGTGACCTTTTTAGAATTAAGAACAGTTTGTTAGTCCACCCCTACTTTCATCCATGATAGTCATAAATTTGAATGTTCAAGTAAATTGGTTTGTAGAATATCTCTTATTTTATATTTATATGACTTACTGTTTCCTCTGATAAAATTAAAATTCAGCATTTTTGGCAGGATTAATACATAGGTGATATTGTGACCTTATTAGTTCAATATCATAAGTCAAGCATATTGCGAGTTTAAAATTTATAACCATTTTGGCAGAAATTAAGGTTAATAAAATTCTTCATGATGAGTATAAAATATGTGTTTTATTAGTGATGAAATCTGTTTTCTGATGTTGAATGTAAGTAAGATTTAAGTTACCAGAATTTGTTTTTTGCAAAATTGTGTTTGTGTAACATTAGTTATTAGTCATAAAATGACTTCTATAATGTAAATTTAATTTAACTCTTGGCAGTACTTTAGAACTTGCCTTCTCATTTTTGTTAGCTACAGCTAAATCAGGAATGAAAGATTAGAGAGGAGTCTATGTCCCCACTTTTCTGTGTGACCCTTCGAAGGCCATCTAATGTTGATTTTCCTAGTTTACTGAGAATTCTGTATATTTTGAAATTGTGTTTGTTTGAAATCATATTCGTTCATAAGGTTATGGTGAGCAAAGCCTTAAGGTAGCAAGGTAGCTGTGTTTTAGCCAGTGACTTCATTGAGGTAGGACTGAAAAGAACAGGCTTGAATATTTTAACAATATTTTTGAGGCTGCAATTGTTTTGATTAGTGTAATATAAATTATCAATAGAAATACATTGTGTATCTGTTATGTGTGCTAGGGATATAAAGCTAGGGTGAACGCTTATCCCCTTGAAGGCGATAAACTAAAGTACTAAAATAAAGTATGTTCTAAGAAATTTAATGACAATATAGTCTTTAAGAAACTTAAAAATATAGTGAAGTTTAAAAAACATTTATTTTAACATAGTAAAACTTATGCTAGATATAAAGTATTGCTACATATCAAGTTTGAAGCATTATGAAAATGAACAATAGATATATAATAGAATAAAGAAGGAAGAAAAATATAACTCTAGTGGTATAATCTAAATATTGCTAAATATGTGAGACAAAAGAGCAACTTTAAATGGAATTGAAGAAAGTCTGCATTACAATAAGTAGGTGACAAAGGCTAGAATCTCTTGGGTTTATGCTTATTCTAGAGAACCCACTTAATGGCTTGTATTGTTTGTATATTTTAAAGGTTGAAACTTCTGAGAGCTTCTACTAGTGTAGTGTGGCTTCATAATTTGTACTTACTAAAAAGTGAAATAACTTGTAGAAGGAGGAAAACTGGGATTGTCAACTGATTAACTTTCAAGAATTCACTGAAGCCCCACGAGATGTCAGATTGAATGCTTTTATTTTCTGTGGCAAAGCGATTTGGTTGGTTTATCTCCTAAATAATGTCTGCTGCTGCTGCTTTTTGTATTCTTTGATGTCTCATCTTGTATCTTTACTAGCAATGTGCTTTTATAGCAGTGTGCTAGCTTCTGATGTAATTGCAAAAGGTTTAACTACTGGAGGTGTTAAAGCTTACTTTAAAAGACTCTGTGACATAGACCCTTGGGCAAAAAAGAAATGAACATTTATTGGAGGCCTGTAACATATGGAGCATTGTGTGTATTGTATATGTTATCACATTTAATACTCAAAGCAACCCTATGGGGAAAGGTAGTTCTGTTTGTCAGTGAAAAAACCTGAGATTTGGAGATTCAAATAACTTGACCAAGGTTATATAACTTGTGAATATCAGACCATTTTATAAACCCAGATCGATGTAAACCCTGAATCCAGATTCTGCGTTGAGGCTTCACTTTGCCCTGAAAACTTGAATGCTTTGCTTTGAAATGTGAAATGCAGCAATAATATTCCTGCCTCACTTTTAATGTTCTTAGATTTAAGAACATTTTTAAAAGCCCAATTTTTTTTTCTTTTCTCCTATTCTAACCTAGAATGTCTTATTCTTGGGCTGTAGCAGTGGACAATTTAAGAAGAAGTATACCCACTCTAAAGGGACTGTGAGTTTTATTGCTGCCTTAAAAAATAATTTCCCTGAAACAAAAATCCTGCTATGAGTTGACTAATCTTGATAAACCTGCATGTAAGAATAACACTAAATTTACTCATTTTATTTTGGCCTTCAGCATCTTTCACCTGAATATATTTTCTTCCTGTCCACCATTGCTTCTCTTACACCTTTACTTAACTTCTAAGCTCTTTTGTTTCTATGTGATTCAAGCATAATAGCAGTCATTCCTGTGGATCTGGCTGGCTTGTCTGTATGTATTGGGCTCCTAATGTACCTAAATTCCAGATTTTCTAGAGGACATCACAAAATTATGAAATAGATTAAATGTGAAAATTATTAAGGCTAGCTTTCTTTTATTTTTATGAAGAATGCTTTCCGACTTAAGAGAGAAAATGAAAAGGAATTATATCATGTAAAACTTTCACAGATTTAGGAAATTGGCAGGAGAAATTGAAAGTGGTAGAATGAGAGAAATTATCTATAGAGTGATAGTGTTTGTAAGCTTTGTTTAATAATTGTCACTATTTTAACATTTTTTAATTTTTGGAGAAAAAGAATCAGTGTTGATCAGTAACACCATTATTTTTAAGATGTAGTTTACAGCTTAGGCTTTCACATGTTTACGGAGTACTTTTAATAGTTGCAAATTATTTATATATTGTGCAGTTAGAGAATAGTATACTTGTAATGGTGTCATAATATCCACTTGGATATCTGTGAAAAAACACTTAAGAAGTTTAAGTTTTTTATGAATTTATGAAACTAAGAAATATAAGTAAACAAGAGGTTAGCAGAAACTGTTGGTAGGTAGTTCAAAGGATTAGACACAGATTAATGAAATACTAGCTACCAAGAATGAAACTTACTTAAGAAGTCATTTTCTTTCTGAGTTCTGAATTAAGCTGCTGGATGTGTTATATTTGATGAAAGCAATACTAATAATGTTAGGCCAAAGTTTTTAAGAAGCTTCTGTTTGAAATACTAGGAGTGATAGAAAAGAACAGGTAGATCAGAGAATGTAGTTACATGGAATTTAATTTGTTTTCACTTAATCAGTATTTGAATTAGCCCACAATATGTATTAAGTCAAGCTGGCCGACTTAGACTTTATTAGTTCTGAGAAGTACTACTTATCTATAAGTTCAACAAGTTCAGTTTTATATTCTCATTTCATAGGGCTTCCTACTATGAGATTTCAGTTGATGATGGTCCATGGGAAAAACAGAAGAGTTCAGGGCTCAATTTGTGTACTGGAACAGGATCAAAGGCCTGGTGAGTAACTTGGGATGTTACATATCAATTTTTGTGAAATCTTTTAAGTAACAAAGTTCATTCAAGAGCTTACATGCACGAAGCAGTCTGATGGTGTTACGTTGGTTGGTATAGTCTCTGCTTCACTCATTAGCTGGGTCCAAGAGTCCTGCCATGACATCATAGATTACAACTGCAGTCTCTGTTTTGTCATTATTTGATCATTATTTAGCCTACCGCATTAGATTTGTAAAGAGGAAAAAAAAGTTAAATATTTTATGGGACTATATATGTGTGTGTGGGTGTGTGTATTTTTTTTTTTTTTTACTAAGACCTTTTTAAATGATCGTAAAGAAAGGAAAAAGTATAATACAAAAAATATGCTACAGGTTTGTGCATTGAAAGCGTAATTGGAGATAACCTGGGGCATTCTCCACCCCTCACCTCCACACATATGTACAGGTGCATCCATATTTGAGTTGCTTTGCTGTTACAGACAGTGATTCAGTATATTGCTCCGTACCATCTTTTTATTTTACATGTATAGTTAGGCTAAATTACTAGAGTTTTGGCTAACTGATGGATGTCCACTTAAAATGTTAATATTGCAGAATTGTCCTCCAACTTCAATTTCTGTAATTTCATCAGTGTATGAGAAGATTTGATTTTTGATACTTGTGCAGGTATAGAACTTCTCTCTACACTTGTCTTCTCACCTGAGTACAATCTCCTAAAGTAACCTTATAGATAAAATATTAGTAGTACTTAAGATTTAGCACATTCAAAACTGTGTTTTTAATAATTTTTCTGTTTATCCTAACTTCATGCTACAGAGAAAAAGCATTCTTCCTCAAAATTTTGCTCTTACTTTTGAGTCTTCCTATTCTTTACTTTTCTACATTGGTCTATAAATCCTGTCATAAATACTTCTGAATCCTCGCTTCTGTTTTTCCATTTCTATTGCTGTTTTTTTAATTCAATGCCCATCCCCCTTTGTGCCTCACTCATTATTCTTCAGGCTGTCATCTATACTGACAAGAAAGTGATATTTCTAAAAAGTAGACTAACCTGACTATATTCCTCTGTGCTTTTATTCTTCTATTGACTATTGACTGTGCTCAGATTACTTAGTCGGTTGTAAAGCCCTTTAAATATGACCTAAGTACCTTATCAGCCTATTCCTGCCCTTTCTATACCCATCAGCTCACTTGAGACACTTCAAGCTATTTGCAATTCTCAGCACAACCATGTTCTCTGTGGCCTTTTTGTTTTTGCTCAATGCAATTTAGTCCTTCTTTGAATGCCTGAGCACTCTCACTTTCTATCCACTGGCTAGAAAGTTTGGTCTTAAGTGTCATTCTCTGAAGAATATTTTTACTAGGACCTAGTTCCTTTCATGAACATAATTAATCCTGTTTTGTTCTCCCCCAGTACCTTGTCCTTATAGCACTAACCACATCATTAGTTATCTAAAAAGTTAAACTTTTAGTTAGTTTGAGCACTTTGAGATGTTTGGGATAGTGACTGGTGATTGTTTCTTTGATGTTTTAACTTTTTATGTACACAGCATAGTACCTAATATATATTCACTCAAATACCTTTTGAATGAATGATCCCATGCTCATTAAAACTGCAACAGTATTTACTGAACTATAATTTTAAGTTCTAAGATTTCCTACTCTTCTTCCTTACATGATTCTGTCCTTGACAGATTTAATTCTAGAAGTGGAGTGCTCTTAGTGACAAAGTTACTAGGTGATGAAGATCTGAGACTTACATTGTTTTTCTATTGACTGTAGTAGAAGTTATGTCCGAGTTCAAATGGTGGTGATGTTTAGAATGGTGAAGATTGGAGGCCTAACAAGAACACGATGGCCAGCAAATGCTCAGGCACACAGTTTGTCTTTAATGTAGAATTAAGTCACTCGTAAAAGTAACGTTATTTAACTGAAATACAGATTACAACATAGAAAGTTAGTCTTCATTTAACACTAGTTCAGAGGACTTCATTTGGGTTGGGTAGTGGGATTCTCAATAACTTATAGTTCTTAAGATGTTAGAGCAGGTCTGTAAGGCTTTTTATCCTGTTAATGAAGTCTTACACAGTAAGGGGATCAGTCAGTATATATTTTTTTGAGAAATGCAGCTCATTTTATGGGCTTTTTATTTAAAATAGAAAATTCCAAAATTGTAATGATGTGGATAATCATAGGTATTAGACTGCAACTTATATATGTACCTTGCATTTGACATTGTCATTCATTGTTGAGTCCTTGCAATACCCAGGTAGTGCCTTACATGCCTTATATCTTAGAGCGTGTAGTAGTAATAGTGATGAGATAGGTATCTGACCCTTATATTAAAACAATAAAATCAGAATGCTTAAAGTATTTTACTTTATACCACATAGTACCATAGTAAGTAAAGAATGCATAAAGAATATATTTGGTGTGTTTTGAATGTGAAAATGGAGGGCAGATAATGATGAAAAGTTAAAATAATCAAGTGCCAGATTTTAGTTGTTTTTTTTTTTTTAATTATAGGAGTTAGTCTGAATAACCCTAATATTTTAATGTAAAAATGTGTGTATCTGCATACCCATTTCTCGGGCTCTTCCTGGTGGCACAAGTGGGTTAAAACACAGCACTAAGGAGCTAAAGCCACTTCAGCATGAATTCAGTCCCCAACCTGGAGGTGAACCACATGGCACGGGCAGACCTCTCCTGACCCACCCGCTGCTCCCCTCAGCAGAATACTTTTTTGATCTGTCTGTTCTCTTCCCTACTCTGTCTCTGGTGAATCCTCTCACTGCTCCTGAACCTCTGGCCGTACCCCAGTTCTGTATGCATAAATAAATAAATATTTAAAAAAAGAAAATATCCCATTTCTCAAAATGTGAAGGATACCCCTATATGGGATATAGAATATCCCTTACTTCCACTCCTGAATTAGGTTGAGTTGTGTGACTCATATTATTCCTATTCATTGGTATTATCTGTTAAGACCATGAGGTAGTAGAATTATTCTAAGTTGATTGGAAGAATTAAAAAAACAACCTTTCCATTACCATTGTGATAGACCCCAGGACAGTACTACTTTTAAAAGTTATTCATGTTTGTGTTAACAGTTGATTTTAAGTTGTTAAATAACTTAAAATCATACTGGTCAAAGATTTCTCATCATCAGGAAAACTTTTATTAATCCTCTTTTACTATTTTATTGAAGAAAAACTTAAATATGTTAAAAATATGTCAAATAGTACAAAAGTGTATGCAATGAGCACTAATATCTTTCATTTCATATTGTTAGTATTGATCGCCAGATATAACAATAATACATATATGTATAGCTTTTTATATGCAATAGAACAGGAAATACTACACACACACATTGTAATACTTGGATTTTAAACTCAACATAATGGTTATCTTTCCATATCAGCACATATAGTTCTAGTTCATTCCTTTAATGCTTGTGTAGTAATTTTGAGTAGCTATAATTTATCTAACCAGCTTTCTTATGGATACATACATATTTGAGTTGCTTTACTATTATAAACAAAGCTTCAATAAATACCTCCATATCATCTTTGTGTTTTACATGTGCAAGTATAGTTAGGCTAAATTACTAGAGTTTTAGCTAAATGATGGTATGTCCATTTAAAATGTTAATAGTGTAGAATTGTTTGCTAACTTCAGTTTCTATTAATACCATCAGTATATGTGCCATACTCATGCCAATACATTGTTAGTTTTTAATTCTTGAAACCCTGAGAAAAATTATTTTGTGTTTTTTTAAGTATAAGATTGAACACTTTTTCATACTGTAAACTTCCATGTACTTTACCTACTTTTTAAAACTGGGTGAAGTAACTACTGTCTTTTAGTTATTGTTGTTTATTTTTTTCCTGGTAATTTCTAAGCATACTTTTTTTATACTAAATAACATTCCTTTTTCATTTTTAGTATGTTTTTAGAATTACAACAAAAAAGAATTGATGTGGTGTTTGTTTCTAGGTCATTCAATATTAACAGGGTTGCAACTCAGGCTGTAGAAGATGTTTTAAATATTGGTAAGTACCAAAATAGCTACTTATATTATAACTGTAATTTGCAGTATAATGTATATCTTTTATTATATCTTACTCATTATATACAATATTTTGTTTAATCAAGATATTTTTTTCCTTTCCTCTTTCAATAGCAAAACGACAAGGAAATTTAAATCTTCCATTGAACAGAGAATTGGTAGAGAAAGGTGAGTGACAAATGATCATAATTACTAATAGTTTCTTTAAGTTCTGTGTTGTTTTTCAGGATGTTATCAAGACATGTACTTGCCTAATTAATAAAAGCAAATTTTTTTTAACTCATATACACTCTTATTATCACTTTAAATATGTTCAAAGAATAAAGTGTTTTAAAGGGGAACTTTATTCTAATTGTTTTCAACCATGAAAATATAACCTCTGTGAAACCCTAACATCAAACATGTCCTGGGAGATAGATAATATAGAAAGATACAAACCTGGCCAGTAAGTATATACCTAACCTCAGTGTGTCATTCAGTGCCTTCTGAAGAAGGAATTCATTTAGTTGTGAATACTCACCACATTCACTAAAATGTTTCCTTTCTGTCTATTCCTGTGCACTTAACTTAGGGTTTACTTAAGAAGCTAGAACTGTTGAAGAAGGATAGTAAGCAAAGAATTTGAAGGTGTGGTTTCTAATCCTAAACTAACCATTCCCTGAAACTATGGGGCAGCCTGATTTTTCCATGCCTCTACTTCCTCAGCTGAAACAAGGGAATGGATATAGATCACTGGTACACAATTCTTTAGATTTAGTATTTAGAATTTATCTTGCTAAAAATTTAAGTTCTTAAATTGAAAAACATTTCATTTGCTTTGTATACAACATTTTGAAATATTAAAGTACTCTTCTCTACCAAGATCATTTTTGTACCACCTCAAACTAACGCTTTTCTTGCTGTCTGTTGGTCAGAGAGAAAGCATCTCTGATAAAAAAAAAAAGTTCAGGCCCTCCCTGGTGGCGCAATGGGTTAAAGCACAGCACTGAGAAGCTTAAGCCACTTCCGCATGAGTTCGATTCCCACCTGCCCTGGAGGAGATCCACATGGCGTGGCAGACCTCTCCTGACCCGCCCGCTGCTCCCCTCAGCAGTGTACTTCGTGGATCTGCCTGTTCTGCTTCCCGCTATGTCTCTGGTGAATCCTCTCACCCTCCACATCTCTGGCCTGTTCCCCAGTTCTATACGAATAAATAAATCTTTAAAAAAAAAAGTTCAACAGAATATCCTGCATAATGACAGCTTCATTGGAAAAAGCATATTGTCAGTCAATATTTGAAAACTTTGTTTTATATCATTAAACTTATGAATTTTTGTATAACTTTACCCAAAAAGGAATATAGCAACTTAAGTTCCATTTTTTTGAGTGCCACAAATGAGTTTCTCTGTTTTTGGTAGTTTTTCCAAGTGTACCCTTTCTGCTATATTGTGGATTATGTAGGCTTCTGTGGGCTACTGAATTAATTCTTATTACTAAGGTTTAACATTTTTTTTTTTTAAAGATTTATTTGTACTTACAGAACTGGGGTACAGGCCAGAGGCTCAGGGACGGCGAGAGGCTTCACCAGAGACAGAGTGGGGAACAGAACAAGCAGATCGAGGAAGTACACTGCTGAGGGGAGCAGCGGGCGGGTCAGGAGAGGTCTGCCACGCCATGGGGTCACCTCCAGGGCAGGCGGGAATCAAACTCATGCGGAAGTGGCTTTAGCTTCTCAGTGCTGTGCTTTAACCCGCTGTGCCACCAGGGAGGGCCCAACATTTTTTTTTTTTAACGGAATGTGCTCTGAGTTCCAAGAAACTTGGTATTAAACAGACCTTTAGAAAGAATAGCATGTAGGACACTTCCTGGTGGAGGAACTGGTTAAGATACAGCACTGCCAGCTGGCTGCAGCCACTCCTGTGCCAGTTCGATCCAGACCCGAGTTGATCCACATGGCACAGACTTCTCTTGTCTTGCCCTCTGTTCTCCTCATCAGTGTATTTTGTCGATCTGCCTGTTCTGCTCCCCCCTCTGTCTCTAGTGAATCCTCTCACCGACCCTGCACCTCTGGCATGTATCCCAGTTCTGTATGCATAGATAAATAAATCTTAAAAAAAAGAGAATGGCATTTAAGTTGGAAATAGCATCCATTTTTCACTTTTCAGAAGTAGCCACTATTTATTGACAATGCTATTTATTTTCCTTTATAGTTACAAATGAATATAATGAATCATTGCTCTACAGTCCAGAGGAACCAAAAATACTGTTTAGTATTCGAGAACCAATAGCAAACAGAGTTTTCTCAAGCAGTCGTCAGCGTTGTTTCACCTCAAAGTAAGCTCCCAAAGTTTGACTCGTGATTGTCTTTATCCCATGTAATTATAAAGTGTACTTGGTTTGAAAAGTAGTCCAGTTCATTAGATTCATTCAATCAAATTTAATCTAGCACCAAGTAGATCTGTGGAACAAATGAGATATCATACCAACATGGTCAAAATAATTTTCGTTCAGACTTAATGTGCTATCTTAGAGAAGCAAAAATTTAAGTAAATAAAAGAAACATATTTAACTGGTGATGTGATTTTTTTTTTTTTTGGTAGTAAGACACAGTGAGGGGCCTCCCTGGTGGAGCAAGGGGTTAAAGTGCAGTACTATGAAGCTGGCAACTGCCACTGCTGCACTAGTTCCGCCCACATGGTGCAGCAGACCTTTCCTGTCTTGCCTTCTGGTCCCCTCAGCAGTGTATTTGGCCAGGCTGTCTGTTCTGCTCCCCAATCTGCCTCTGGTGAATCCTCTCACTCCTTGTACCTCTGCCCTACACTCCAGTTCTTGTATGAATAAATAAATCTTTAAATAAAAAGACACAGTGATACCACATTATCCTCTAAAAGAAACTTTTAGAGTGTACCTTTGTCCACTGATAAAGTGTCTGAGTGAATGGAGCTATACTGAATATTTAAACTTTGGTAATTTACTAATGTATTAGTCATTATGTCATGCCTAAGAGCCACTTGATCTTTAAAATCTGCCAGTTTTAATGATTATCGGCGGTTTTAATAAACTTAACTTCCAGTTAGAAAAACTTGATATTTAATGAGATGTTTCTTTCTTCATAGGGTTTCTGTTCGTTCTCGTTGTTGGGATGCTTGTATGGTTGTGGATGGAGGAACGTCTTTTGAGTTTAATGATGGAGCAATTGCTTCCATGATGATCAATAAAGAAGATGAACTTCAAACTGTGCTTCTGGAACAGTGAAGGATTTCCTCAGATGACAAGATTATGACTGAATATTTTCACTGTGGAAACAAACTACCAGTCATAAAGCTACATACTTTTGGTTATTTTTGAGACTGGTTGGCTCTGGACTCAAAAGTGACCCAAAAAGCGAGACTCTCATTATTCTTCTGTTGGATCTTAGTAAGGAATATGTTCAGTGTGTAAGAAAATGGACTAAACTGATTAGTATTAACTGAAATTTTTGTATTGTTTACAATTGGTATGCAGAGTACTGACATCTTTTTAAATTTAGAGGTAGGCTCAAATAAAGGATTAAATGTTTAGGATATGAAGTTTAACTGTACAAGTTTTTTTTTTTTTTTTCCCCTGCCTTCTTACTTTATGGAATTAGATCAGACACATATCACTTGATTGATACATATTTTTTATAGGACTTAAGAATCAAGATTTTTAACAAATTTTGATGATGGAGAACTTTGATAAATCCTGACATTGACCTAATTGAAGTAGGTAAATGTATTTTATATGTGCCAAGAATTTTCTAATTTCAGAACACAATGATATGAGGTTATTGATTTAAAGTTTTTAAAGTTCAAGTAGTCATTTTTGAAATTATTGTAGATACTTTAATTGACTTTCAGGTTACTTTTGACAATGCTGGGTGAAATACATGTACTGGACAAATCATGTTGCTTTTATAAACGTATTAATTATTCAGTAGCTATTTTAGGTCAGGATGAAGTGATTAGACATTCTATTAGAAGTTTGGTAAAACGTTTGAAAATATATTTTCATCTACTGCTAGTTTCATCAGAAAGAAAATGGATTCTTTAATATGCAGAACACATCAGTTTTGGAACTGCCTTACTGGTTTTCACCTAGCTCTTAATCAGGTTTCAAACATTAGCTTTGGAAAAGAAAATGTTAAGGTTTTTCTTTTTTCTCCATTATGAGACTTATTTTTGGAGGAAATTATTCTTACCTAATTTCTGCCCTACTTATAGGTAATCCTGGAACCTTTTGCTGCTTCATGAGACATTCTCATGTCATTTATTCAAAGTTGAGCCTGTTTATTTTTCATTTAATGTTAAGAATTTTTTGTTTAATCATTTTATTGTATACCCACTCTGTGCCATATACTGTGTCTGGTGCTGGATATATGTTGATGAATGAAACAGACTCTATCCTGATAGAACTTGAGCTTAGGAGTAAATTCTGTGAAAGTATACATAATCAAATTGAGCTCTCTTAGTTTTGCCAACACTTTCCATGTTCCTGTCAAATTTATATGACTGTTGTTAGTATTTAGGTTTTGATGTATATTCAGATTTTTTTTTTTGGTTAAGAATGTTTGCATAGACATGCATAACAAAAAGTTTAAATGATGCTTATAATTAAGGTTAGTGTTTTCCCAGAATTGGATCTAATTTCTGGTTTGATTTACAAATGATCTATTCAGATACCATTTTTATAAAGAAATAGAATTCAACAATATAAACTTCCCTAATAGGTTTAAAATACCTTCTTGTCAAAAATGCCTACTCAGTCTTTAATATCAAGGAAATCTAACTGTCCAAAATGGCATCATAGATATATTAATGTGTAACATATTAATAGGTAACCTGCTGTGTAAAATTATTCATAAGCCATATTTTTAAAGGTTTTGAAAATTTTAATGTGTTCTCTGTGTGATAATTTCTAACATTTCTGTGGTGTGGTGAGGGATTACATGTAAAGAATGATGAGAAGCAAAAGATGTTAGAATAGTGAAAATGCTTTAATGAATGAAGTTAACCTTTTAATTGCAACTATACATGAATAAAATTAAAATATTGTTATGTTCTCTTTTTTACTTCATTTACTGCCTTAACTCTTACGGGGTCGGTCAGATTTTTCCAAAATGCTCCAAAGGTCTTTGTACCCTGTTCCCCACTGCTAAGTATTACTCTGCGATCTGTTGACTTTACTAATTGCTAATATTTGAAACAAAATCATGATGTTATATAATCAGGTAAAGGGTTCACCTGAAAAATGTAAACTCTAAAGATAGTTTGACTTAAAACTTCTGATGCTCCATTTGTATTTATATTGTGGCCCCAGTAAATCAAATCACATTACATATTCCACTAAATGTATAGCCTTCAAGTATGAAGATTACCATTATTTTTTTAGATAACAAAACAATATGAATAAAATTAGTAAGAGCCAGCTACCAAATTTACTGAAAACATCACTTGAGTTGAAGATTTAAATATAAATTTAAGAATATATTGTTTATTGTTCTGCTGTGAAAATAATGTAAATTTTAGAGGTAAATCACTAAAATTCATTGCATTGTGCCAGTATACATAATATCAGCATCAGTAGACTAGGGTAGTAACCAAGACAACTGTATAAAAAAAAGATAACCAGCAACAATGTGACATGTAAATGATACAATGAAAAATATACATGGGGCATTAGAATAAAGGTACTGTGAACTAGAGGAGGAATTGTTTATCACAAGTAAAAATTTCTAATTGTTTATTTCAAATGCAGCTTATTCTCAACTTTAATTTGGGATGCTGAAAAGACAGTTCGAGATCCCCGAACAACACACCAAATTTTATACCAGAATGTAAGTTCCTTGGGACAGGGGAATGAGTTTGGACTTACTTTCACAATACCTAAAACTGGCATAACTGAGGAGTACTGCCATTAATAATGGTTTCATGATACTGAAACTTAGCATTTCTTAAGTAGTTTGTGAGAGAGGATTTGATATGTGGTTAGTTGAAATACGGACAAGGTTTGAGAACCAGGTTTTTAACAGAATGATCCCTCAACTGCAACTATTTGATCCCCCATATTTGTCTTTTTTGATTGAATGGATGAAAGGCTTGAATGATTTGTCAGGTTATCGGCATACTCCACTAGTATTACTTGACTTTTGCAAGAAAATTAAAATATATTTTTGTAATTAAGCATTATATAGAGCTCTTTCCCCCTGCTTCAGGTCTTTCATCAGAGGCTTTTATTTGTGAAATGATTCGTTACAACATTACCCTATTAATCTTTCAGATATGCTCATTAGCCTTTTAGATGTGTCACTGTGGCTTATTCACTTTACATGAAGTGTCAGATTAAAATACTGCCTAAATCTTAGCCCTCTGTGCACTTCCTGGCTCTTGTAGTGATGATGCCATTGCAAACTTAACTTATTATGAGATAATAGTTTTGAGAGAAAAAGGGACTTTACAACTTAACAGAAATGACTGCATGTCCAGCCAGTGTTTGGTTAAAAGGTGATACAAATGCAAAGTTACTGTTGAGACAGAATACAGTCTGATGTGCCTACGGTATATAGGTGGGCGTGGGAATAAGCTTTCAGTTGCTTCTGAAATTACCATAGTCCCAGCTATTTTAAGACCTCAGCAGTTTTAATGCTGTAAACTACAAGTTAAATATTTTGGAATTTGAGAAGTACCAAAATATTTTAATATTTAGATTCACCAAAAATAATTCAGATATTTAAGCAAAGGAAATGTGTAAAATGAAATTAACTCAAGTTTTAGAGCTTCATTTTGTATCATAGCTTCTTGATAAAGAATCTGCTGACTTCTTGGTGGTATTTGGGTAGGAAAGGTTGGGGAGGGGGTGGTAATGAAAGGATAATGTTTCTCATTTTAATCATAGTACTTAAGAAAAAGAGAAAAAAGGAATATAAATAAGTTGCAGACTCATTTTTATAAAAATGTGCTTTATTTTAAAACAAGTCTATAAAAGTCTATAAAAGAAATCACATATAAAAATACAGATTACTTTGACATATTAGCAAGATAGCTTATGGTTGAACTTGAATTCGAAAGTACTGTATATCTGAGGGTATCCAGAAGTCAGAGTCCAACTGATCCTATCGCCAGCCCCTGTCACTAATCTGTAAACAATAATTTCAAGTAGTATTTAGCACTTTTTAGAACGAATTGACACATTTCCTGTATAACACTACTTTACAGTGTTTTCCTTAGGTCTCAGAAGATAAGGGCACTTCATCATTTCTAAATTAGGTCTTACTTTAAAAAAAGAATGTTAACAGAAGTGGTGGATTTGGCTTTTTGTTCCACTTTGGATATAGGGGGAGCTCATCAATTTAAATATGAAACTAGTGTTTTGTGGTTTTTTTAAAGCAGAATTTAATTTTGCTTCATGTACCATTTAAAAATATATATCACTAATGCTATCCAAAGATAACACCTGAGTCTTAACTTTTATGTAGGTGCAAGTCATGTTTACTGCCCTGAAATCACATGGAACATACATCTGTGGCTGGAGCATCATTCTGATTGAGAGGAACAAGCATTTCTTAAGGAACTTTAGATCCAGTAACCTTACATAATGGGCAGTTTAAAGCAAATTATTGCAAGAGACACTATACAAAGACAATTTCAAATACCTGATTTCAGAGTAATATAAAAATAAACTCAAGAACTCAGCGGTAAAGGAAAAAGGCAACTTCAGTTCAATATTCCATCGAGCATTTCAACAATAGAGACGGCCTGGTTCCTGCCACCTTTCTAAAACAAAGCAAGTCATTTTAAAAGCTAAAAAGTCTGTGTTAACGTAATTGATATTAAAGTTTGAAGACCGTGCTTGTATTTCCTTAGCTACTACAGAATCACAGCAACAGTACATCAAAGGATATTTATGTGCATTAGAGGATACTTCACATTAATATGTCATATAAAACTGCCTCTTGAGCCTTCAAATTCCCCACTAATTCTATGCTTTGTATTTAGGTTTTAAGGTGAATTACCCAGGCAGGGCTATTTGTCTCTAGGATTCTTAATTTCAAATTGCTAGGCAAAGTTGAAATGGTGTGCTTTTTCTTTTCTATCCCTAGAAGAGACTGCTTAAAATGCTATAGTCCCATGATTTTTTCTGGTCACCTTGTAACACAAATAGCTTATTCTCCCAGTATATGTCATAAAAGCAATACTGAAAAATTAAATAGAAGAAAGTTACCATATAGTCTGTAGATGATTGCTGGTGACTTATAAGCTTGATTCTAAATAGATATAATAAGAAGGATACTTGGAAGAGGTGGGTCAGATTTCACTCTTTAAGGAGTCTTGAAATGATAGGCTTCTCCTAAAATATCAAAAGGCCTACAGGTTAGGCTCATAAAGGCATAGCAGTGACAGCTCACAGAATCATTACAGAAAAGCAACTTTTCACAGCTTTCTCTCAAATGAGTCTCTAATATACTTGCAGAAGGAAGGCAAAGGGAAAACCAAGAGTAAAAACAGCCTAGCACGTGCACATTTGGGCTTCCTGCCTACTTCCCTGTTCCAAAGGAGATACCATCCGACGATAAATAATTCATAGACAGCTTGATTTTTGAAGTGTCAGTCGGCATTTGATGCCCCATATCTCCTGGTTCTTTATGTTGCTTATGGTTGGCCTGGCAATGGTGGTGAAATGGGAACAATTAATCTGTAGATGAGGAAGGGCTTCCTTTAACAATTGAAGGGTGTTGTCTGGCACGATTCCAAAAACTTGTAGTGTTTTTAGTGTGGGAATTTCTCCAAGTTCACTGGAAAGAGAGAGAAACTTTCAGTCACAGTAGCTATGGGAACTGTTCTATTAGAGTTACATGACCTAGTTACAATTTGTGTCATAGTTTATAAAATGCAGTGTGATGGCATAATTTGCAATCGATTGAGAACACAAGGTGAATCAAACCAGAAAGAAGCTTGGACACTGAGGCCTGAGGAAACATAGCGGCAGAGAGCTTTGTTGTTACATAAAAACTCTAAGGCTCATTTACTACTAGAATCCAAAAATATTGGGTTCCTTTCTCCACTATTAATTTATATTTAGGGGTATTATTGTGTTGTAAGAAGAAACATACAAAACTACAGATAGTAAATGTCTTACTATGGCATCAATTGGAAACACCACAAATTACATGTAACTAAAAGAGATATGGATTTATTCTTTATTTGAACTAGTCCACCCACCCCCCAAAAGGAGATGTCAGAGGGTTGACAGCTCACTATTTGTTAATAGTCAAGTGGTGAAACCAAGCAGTGATCTCTACCAAAGTGTTTTAGGCTGGGACATGCAGTTGGGTGCAGATGGAGAAAAGGATGACCAACCACGTGAAGAGACAGACATCCAACCTCTCTAAACATTAACATTTTTCTTCTGTCACAGGTAAGCCTCATTTTGTCATCTCTTTTGGAATCTCACAGTAGATGAGATACAACTCTGTCCACAGGGAAATTCTGGTACACAGAAAAGTAAAAGGGATCCATTTCCCTAAAGTAAATACTTATTGGTAATGATTCTTCTTAACCCAGGTCTGTGCGCTTAGAATTTCATCTCTCTGATCTGTATTTGCTCCAGGTTGGGACACACAAAGTCTGAGGAAAGGAAATATTGACTTTGGAATTTCAACAAAAATCCCTCCACAGATCAATGGAACACATCAGTGACATAGAACTAGAAGCATTCTTTGTATTTTCATGCTGCCAGTAATTCCTTGAAAAACAAATTTCCCTTATAACAACTATTCTACATACCAATAACCAATGCAATGCATGTTCCTCAAGCCTCAGCTTAGCTTAGCTTGTGTTACTCTCCTGCTCCAAATCTTTCACAGATGTTCCCTTTTTATTTGCAGAACTCAAACTGTTCAGCCGGCTTTAAGACTGCCCAGGCCTAACTCGCAGACTGCTTCTCCATTCCCCCACTAAATTATTTAGTTGGCATTCAACTAGTGTCTAAAACACTATAGGTGCTTAGTATATATGTGAGCTGAATACAGGGTGATGGGCAATTTAGAATATTTTGTCCAAATAGAATAAATACACTTGAGCTCATAAGGCTTTGGAGGTCACAAGAGTCTTAAAGAAAATCAGGAAGAACAAATTGCCACTGATCGTTCAATTAACTAATTTCTGGAATGTAGAAAGCGGACTACAAAGAAAGGTCATAGTAACAGGCATTTACTATTACCACATATGAGGCTAGAAATCCTGCCTCAACCTTAAATCCCTTTCCTGTAAAAGTTAAAGAGGACACCAGAACCTAATGATAATCGTGATGACTTTAGTTCTGGGATTTGCAAATAGCCAAACTGTAAGGCATTCTGCAGTGGAAGGTATTATGAGAAAAAACCGTAGCTAGGATTAAGACATGGAAGTATAACATCAGAAGAAATGTGCTTGCAACAGGGAACGTGCTCTGGTGAGAAAGGAAGGCGCACCAGGTACTTGGAAGACATTCCTGGGCAAAGGTGAGTGAGCTGCACAAGATGGGGCCTTCCTAGGCCCACTCCCAAGTCAAAAAACAAGAAAGTCTTTAATATTTTAAGGAGGCCAAATAAACCAAAAACAGTCTTTTTGTAGGTGTGCCACCTGTCACAAAGCAGAACAAATCTGTAAGATGGTGACCACATAGCATCGAGAAGTGTTGTTGAAGCAACTTAACCTTACGTTCTGGGATAGTGAGTTCAGACGGGATACTTTAAAAAATGTTCACTGCATTACCTGATTGTATTATTTCACTTTTGTAACAAGTTTTGATCTTATCTTGAAAAAAAAAAAATCAAAAAGAATTTGAAAAGTCAAATAGGACAGCAAATAGAAATGAATCATTTAAGAGCCATTATTTTAAATTTAAATACAAAAAGAAGATAATGCCTTAGAGATCTGTTTAATTTTAATCAACTAAAGTTATCTCGAAATGCTTTCATGGGTTCACTCTTTCCCTCATCTACACAATATAACCCTGTTTTATAACATCTCAAGGTCCTCTGCTATAAAAATCTCCTGCTAACAATCTTTATTTAGTCTCTCTTAACCTTAGATCAGGTTACTATCTCCCGCTAGGGTTTCTTACTTGACTGAGAAATACAGAGTAATTAGAAGTCAGTTCTGATGTAGAAAATGAGACCAATCAAGGGATAAGGGAGTAAATACAATGGGAATCTATCCTTAGCAAGGGAACTGTACTTACTTAAGTACTTTAAAGCATTAAAACTACAGATGCTGCTCAAATTTTCTTTTTCCACTTCTGAGATAAACTTATGTGGCTCTTTGGAAATTATTGCTAAGGATTCTAGAATTCTTACAATGAATGTCATAGATATCCATTACTAGAATGACTGAAATTAGAGGGAAAGACATTTGAGTAGAAATAAATGCATAATTACATAATGCCCTAAAATTTAAATACAACCTCTATTTCCTCCATTTTTCACCCTAAAATTTAAATACAACCTCTATTTCCTCCATTTTTCACCTTTTTCTGATGATCTGATTTGTAACTAAACTCCTATTGCCCTAGTTTCTCTTAACTTCGAGATGAAGTTTTGACAAGTCACAGTAAGGCAGGGAGGGTTCACAGGGCTGTGACTGCAGTCGCACCAAGACCAAGTTCCCTGCAGGGACTACGATACAAGCCTTATCATCATGGTGGATAAAAATATCAAAATGTGAAGGCTCACAGCCTTCCCCTAATCTCTGCTCAAAAAAAAAAAAAAAAAAAAAAAAAGCATTTGGAGATTACCTACTTAGCTTCTTTCTCTCAGCAAAAAAGAACAAATGTATGACACATGGGTAGATTGTCTTGACACAATCAACCAAAATAGAATAATCACCATATTCCCCAGGGGCCTCACAGCCAAAGCAGCATTATGGCAAGGACAGGAGAGACTGGATGGCAAAGACCTTTTATGGGTAGATGGGGAGGAAGCCTCTCAAGAGTTATAGAAGCTAGAAAATGTAAGTGCAGAATTTTAATAAGAGTTCCACATTGATGAATGTAAATATAACACCTAAGAGAATGGAAAGTAATTCTTGGCATCCCTTTTTGTCAGTCAATTCTCCAGATGAGACACTCTGAGCCCCAAGATTAATTCAGAAAGTGATTAGTTAAAAATATAATTGCTGGATTTCTGACTCTAGTAGTTACCCCTGTATAGCTGAAGTATTTGATTTATTCATTAATTTTGAGACTATTGCAAGCGCCACGCCAGTAATTAGAGGACTGCATCCACTCCTCCTTCAGTTTACCACCTTGGCTGGGAATGAGAGGGGAAAATCACCATCCCTGGGATGGCGGACTACATGGTTTCATGTGGACAATATTGATTGGAATAAGAAAGAAGAACACGTGATTCGAGATACTGACTTTGGGGTTTTCAATACAGTTGCTATAAACATACTTAACATGAAGAATCGTCTAGCCCTTTGGGAAGAAGATTTTGTAAAAATAGATGGTACTGCTCCCAGGATGACTTAGTAGGCCAGGGTCTTAGAAGGGCAGACCAGGTTCCTTGTTTCTTTGAATTCCTTTGATTTTAGTAACAAGTGACATCTCTTCTGGTCACTGAAAGTACTTACAGTAAAGTCTCAGGTATTATATCATAGCACCGACTGAGAGACAGGTGTTGGAGGTAGCTGAGCTGGTAAAGTTCCTCAAAGCAATCATTCGTTAACATAGCACTATCACTGCAACAGAGCAAAGAACAGATTCAAAACCTACCAATCCACCCTAGAATGAGAAGACAGAAATAGTCTCCTGTTTACTTCCTTCAAATCAACATATTAAGATTCTTTCTTCATTCAATGAGCAATTATACTTTTCAATCATTTCTGATAGCAATTAAAAAAATACCTTAAGTCTAGGTGGACAAGATTGGGGCATCGTCCAACTAAGGTAGAGACATCTATGAAAACAAATGATAGTCACCATGAAACAAAGAAAAAGACAATGGCATCTGCTCGCAATATTATTACTTTACATGCTAGAAGTTTAGAACAATACAATTAGAAGTCACACATCTTTACAAAGAAAACAAATTATCACCTTAGCACGTAACATTTTCTATGCAGAAAAGAAAATTCAAGAGAATCACCTGAAAACTATTGGACATCAAAAGAAAACATATAAAATGACTAAATCTACCTCTTATCTATGTATCAGCAATACTAGCTGGAAAAATAAAAATGAAACAAATCCCATTCACAGTAGAAAAAAAGCAAAAGCAACCACTACACACACACACACACACACACAACACACACACACACACACACATATACACACACACATAGATATAGATATATAGATATATAAAGCCTATCACAAAGATAGCATTTACAATCAAAGGGGGCACTCGTGGAGTATTAAAGATAAAATTGCTGCCACAACCTGTAAAAATATATTTCTCAAGTAATATAATCAATATATTCAAATAAAGCCCACTTCTATTAAAGAGTTCTACAAACAAAAATATGGTAATTACTAGATCTTGAGACAGAGTTTCTGTACATGGAAGAAAACATAACAAACACTGATAATTTGCTACATAAAATCTTAAAACCTTACCATATTAAAGCAAAACAAAACATTAGCAAAATTTAAGTAGCAGAAAACCAGGCAAGTCCTTAATAGACAGCTGTCATATATAAAGAGAAAAAAGCAACAGTGAACATGACACTTTGCAAAAATAACAACAAAATGGAGCAAGAAATACAAAATGAAATACTGCTTTCCTGTCAGTGAATGAAAAAAAATTTGATTATACTCCAAATTAGTGAAATGCAATAATGCAAGTACCCCAGTACATAAGTAGATACTCATTTTTAAAGATGTATTTTTATTTGTTTATGCATACATAAGTAGATACTCATTTTTAAAGATGTATTTTTATTTGTTTATGCATACAAGAATGGGGGTGTAGGCCATAGATGTGGGGGGTGAGAGGATTCATCAGAGAGTGTGGGGAGCAGAACAGTTGGACTGACTGAAATCCACTGCTGAGGGGAGCAGTGGGAGAGACAGGAGAAGTCCGCTGTGCCATGTGGGTCACCCCCTGGCTGAGGATGGCTTCATGATACTGTTCTTAACCCCTTTTGCCCCCAGGGAGGCCCGTAAGTAGATACTTAATTTTATATAGATTTTCAGGATGGAAAACTGTTTTCTTTTTTTTTGAGGAAGAAGTGATTTTTTTCAAACACACACACAAACTCAACATTTGCACAAAGAAAGAGAGGAGTGGTGGGGGAGGAAATACACCCTGATGTTAAATGCAGTTACCAGGCTCGGTGGGATTATAAAATTTTTCAGAATTTGGAAGAAAGTCAGATGAGCAACGCTGTCGTCAGCAAATCAATCAATGTCACTTATTAAACAAAGAAGTCCATTAATGTTTGGGGTTTCCTTCTGTATCTTTAGTCACATCCACCCCAACCCCCGAATCCTAGATTTTCAATATGTGACAGGCCTCTCAGATTTATGCATAAGACCAAATACTTGATTTCTTTAAATCTGCTCCTTAGTTCCTAAAGTCTTTGCCATCTCAGTAAGTGGTAACTTCACTGATCTAACCAGCGGCGCAAAAAATCTGGGAGTCACACTTGAATGTTTTTCTCACATCCCACATTCAATCTGCTACTAAATCCTGCTGAGCCTGCTTTCAAAATAGATTCCAAGTACGATCATTTGTCACCATGTTGAATGTTACCACCCTGGCTTGCTACAGCCTTTCCTCAACAAGCCACAAGGATAAGACTTTAACAAAGCAAGTCAGATCCTATTATTCCCTGCTCAGAATATGCCAACGGCCTCCCATCTCAGAAAAATCCAAATCTAGCTTTTGGTTTACAGAGCTCGTGGTTATCCCATCTAGCACAGTGTTCCCTCTTCCTTCTTGCTGGCCCTAGAACCTTCTTTGCTTACATGTTTAGATGGCTGCTCCTGCACTCATTCAGGCCTCTGCCCATGTCATTTCCTCTGAGGGGCCCCCTTCCAGCTCCTTCCTACCACACTCCACCTGCTTACTTGCTTTCCTTTCCTTCTTTACATTTCCCTTCCTTTCTTCACATTTAGTTACTTGTTGATGGCCTGGTGCCCCACTAGCAGGTCAACTTCACCAGAGTGATGCCCACCATATAACCGAGAGCACGAATGCATCCCCTTCCTTCTGCACCCCTGTACTTGCCCCAAGAACAGCTGCTATTTTATTACCTACTATTTTTGCCAGAACTCAGTAAACAGGCGATCTGTTCTTTTTCAGAGGAACAAAGGAAAGTGTTATAAGCCAAACTTGGACAAAATTAATAGCTGCTTGCCTACAGCAGAGTTAGGTGACCTTGCATCCAGAACCTCAATTCATTTCAGAAGAACTCTCAGTAGAGTGGGAATTTGAGAGATAGGAAGAAAATGTCAATAGAGGCACTACCTTCTCGTCTTCCGAGGATAAAGAAGGCAGAACTGACAAAGGGATTCGCCGGGAAGAGGCTGCTCACTACGGGGAATTCAGCAGCCTTAGAAGGAATTTGGCAGGCGCTGCCTAAAGCTGGAGAATAAGGCTGAAGCCTTGACTCCGCGATTCCACTTGAGAAGCCTTGCCAGGACACACAAAGCTTTGTCTCTGTCCTTTCATACAGGGAAAGGCTGGAAAGTTTCTCAATGTCAGCTACAAGGAGATCCACTGGGTAAGTTATTCTTAAAAGTCGATACAAATTATTCCCTAACTATATATATATGTGTGTATCGCACAATCACAGAAAACAGGGTTATCTTAAAAAAGCGTATTACAAAGTATGCCACACTCTATGTTCCATTTTAAAAGATACTTTTGTATAAGAAAGAGTTGGCATGGCGCTGAGGAGATTATTGTTAATTTATCGTTGTGTTTTTCCCCATATTTTACATAGCCTTGAGAAAGACTATATAATGCTATAGTCAGATCTAAAATAAAATAGTGCAGAATACCATGTGTGGAGGAAGGAATTAAAAAACACACAGGGGCCTCTGTGGTGGCCCAGGGGTTGAAGTCTCAGGGCTATCAAGCTACCGGCAGCTACTGCAGCATGAGTTCAATCCCCGCCCAGGGAGTTGACCCGTATGGTGCACCAGATCTCTCCTGTCTAACCTCACTAGTATATTTCAGTCAGTCCAACTGTTCTGCTCCCCATTCTGTCTCTGGTGAATCCTCTTAACCTCCCTTCCCCACCTCTGGCCTGCACCCCAGTTCTTGCATGCATGCATAAATAAAAAGAAATCTTAAAAAATAAAAATACAACTGTTGCTTATACAGACCACCAGAAAAATGTTCCCCTTGTCTAAGACAGAGGCGATCAGACTCAAGGTTGAGTAAAGATTCAAGCTTCTGGCTTCTGAGGAGAATCTAGTTCATTTTCTGTATTCTGACCCATCTTACTTAGCCTAGTATGGACAGCATGCCCTCAAGAAGAGGTTTCCAACTACTACTTAAATGTTAAGATGCATTCTGCAAGTGATTGATTCCAATCTTTTAACTTGTAATCCACGTTATAATAAACAAAACCCATTAGGTGAGCAATGCCAGCATCAGGACTGTGGTGCTGCCTGGGCTTGCTTAACCTGACTTCAGGCAGAAATTCTGCTTCAAAGTAAGTTCTCTGAAAGGACAAAGGTTTCCATTTTTAGATTCTGGATTCAAATCCTCTACCCACAAGCTGCTGGCCTTAATCTAATTCATGTGATCAGCTACTGCCTCAGCTGAGAAAAGCGAGGATCAACACTACACTTCCTGGCTCAAGTGAGAGAACAGCACCTGCTTTTGCTGTTGCTGTGGTTAAGGGCCTACAAGAAGGTCTCACCTGATCTCTGGAGATTCTTCCTGTAACCGCTAAGATTGAGCTGGGTGATGGTCTTTGACACATGTGCAACAGCCACTTGCACATGCTTTTCAGTGAAGTCAAAACACCAGGAGAGGTTCAGCTCATCCAATCTGCACACAAGAATGCAACAAAGAAAGCATGAAATCACTGCACAGGAATGAGTCCTCTAGGCAGCACTGGCTCAAGCAGAAAAAACAAAATACGAGCCAGACTCCTATCTCATACACGGCCTCTGCTTCTCCAAGCGGCTACCTTTGCCCTAGAAAGTTGCCAGGGGATCTGAGTGACTGACACTAGTGAATGCTGCCCCCTTGTGGAGACGGGAGGGGCAAGCTCTTCCCTTCAAACTTGGTTCCAGAAATGGAGGTAGCTAGGATATTCCAGCCGGCCTCAGTTCTTTCCCAACTACTCATGTTGTTAGCAAATAACCACAGAACTGAGCAGTCACTTGAGATCTTTTAAGATGGTCTTGGCTTATTTGGCCTCGGTTAGCTGAGCAAATAATAATGTTCAATCATTAAGCCACATACCCCTCCTGGCATTACTGAATAATGTGGCCTGTATATCTTATCTCACGGATAACATTCTTCTAAGGCTACTTCCAACAGGTCATTAAGGAAACATAGGTACGCACCAGGGGATATTAAAAAGGAAACACAGCATACACGCACACATATATACACATATGCATGCATGTACATATATATACACAAGTGTGCACATGTGCACACACACACTATTGTGTATTTTGTAAACCATGTCCCCAATCAGTAACACCCGTAATTGTATCCTTTATTTATGATGTTTTTAATCCTAGCACCCAAATTAGGGAGGATGTTTGCTATGTATCAAATTTAATCAAAACCTCTAAGCTAGGTCTATAGATACTATAGGGAGAAAACCTGACCATATGGACAGTCAGGTGAAAACAGATTAATTTCAACTCGACTAGTGAAACTTCATACACAAGCTATCGGGCGAGATTGGCTCTTCCGATTCCAGCACTCGCTGCACATGGGCAGCCCCTCCCCTGGCGCTTGGCCCCAGAAAGTGTTTGTGGACAGAGCCAGCAGTGGATGATGGGCATCGTGCCTCGGGCTCAGGATGCAGGCGGAGGTCAGCAGAGATGGCGATGGCAGTGCTCCCCTGCCACGCAGCCCCAGAGCATGCAGCCATTGTTTCAGGGCTGCAGGGAGCAGCGCAGCTCCATGGGCCAGCTCCAGAGCGGTGGCTCCCACCAGCTGCAGGCAATAGAGAGGCTCATGGTGCCTGCATGGTGGAAGGCAGGGTCAGGTGCGCGCTATGAGCTGGTTAGCACTACAGTCCAATCAGTCTGCCACAGGATTGAAAATGGTCCAGTCAGACTTGTAGGTGAGGAGCCTGAAAAGGTTAAAGGCAGGGCAGGAGCCAGCTGGGGAGGCAGGCTCTGATGCAGCCTGTTCCGTAAGGAGGCTCTGTTTCTGACCTCTGAGGGAGAAAGGACGAGCAGCCGACCTCCGAAGAAAGAAGAGAAGCCGAAGTTTCCCAGAAGTTGGGGCCACTGGCTGGCCCTGCCTGACACCTCCTGAAAGGAGCCTCAGACCCAGGACTGGTGTCTCAAAGAGCTGTTTGTTGTTGTTGTGAGCCAACAACTCACAAAGAGCTGCTGACACAGTGACTTTGACAGTGCTGCTTCAGTGACCTGTGGTGACCAGAGCTACATGTCAGTGCTGTTGACAGGTGACTGGCACTCCTTGTCCAGGTCACTTGAGAAACTTTAGCTGCTCCTGAACAACCAGCACTGCCTTCTGGTGCTGTTCAGTGAGCGACTGTGGTGTCATCTCTGCAGCCCTGCCCACGAGCGCCTCAGTTACGGTGAGTTGGACACTGGCCCGCTGCTTGTCCACAATGCATGAGTTCTAGGGCCCTGCTGGTGGGGCAGTACCCTCTTGAATGAGCAGCCTTTTGCTGGCACATCCTGGGCGCTGCGGACACTATCTGGGGTGAGAGAGCCAACCACCCTTCCCATTTGTTAACGAACCCTCATTATTGTTGTTCCTGGGGTCTGAGTGGTCTTGCAGTTGAGAACGAGGGTGAAAACCCACAGTGACCTGTCCTCTATTAGGTACTACCTGTTGGCTCGCCATGGACCCTCCAAAACCCCATTTCATTATTTATAAACCTATTTCATTTTCTTATTTTAGTAAGTTTAAAAACGAGAGGTCATTTTGCAAAGTAAAGTATCTTTTGCAAACCTAATGGAGTTGGCTCCGGAGTTTGCACAAGGCTTGGAGGGAAAAGGATACTGCATCATCCAAATCAAGAGCTGGGAAAGTTAAGGACAGCTTTCAAAAACAACCCCTTATGTTTGTGTGCGGAATAATTGTCTATTTGCAACAACAACTCTGTAATCAAGTCTCAAATTTTTCCCACCTGCAACAGCTGCTGAGTAACATCTTCAGGGCAGATTCGGAAAATCCAGAACACCCAGAAAGGTTCAGGCGCATTAAATTTGCATTCTGCGCAAGATTACTGCAAAAAGAGAAAAGCGTCAGAAGACTACCATTAGGATAATGTGAGCACTGAGGAAAACAGGTTAGTGAAGCGGTAATTCACACAGGCCGCTGAGCAGAACCGAGTTCAAACACCGCTCAGCTCACACCAAGCAGGATGCTTCGCTGATCCAGGAAATGGTAAAATTGGTGCTTCTTGGGAGGGCTGATAAGATGAAATGATATAATTTAAGAAAGACTGTAGTGGCTGACCCAGATCAGTGCGCTAGAAATACTGATCTAGGCAGCACTGGAATAAACACTTCCATTTCACCCATTCTTGGAATTAGATGACAGGCCACCTTCTACATGCAAAGTCAGTGGGTTCTTCGACTGAAAAACCTCTCCCACAGCCCTCCTCTACATTCGCAAGAGGCCCATGTTAGAGAAACTCAATCAGCACAAGAGCCTGCGTCACATTACTTTGTGGGGTTCAAATCTTGGTGGTGCCTCCTAATTATGTGACCTTGGACAAGTTGTTCAGTTTCCCTGTGCCTCAGTTTCCACATGTGTAAACAGGGAATAGTAAGAAGTGTTTCACAGGGTGGTGACGAGAATTAAATGAACAATTACCCTCGAAAAAATTGGTGTCTGGCACACACTAAGTGTTTGACAGATAACAGCGACAATTACTATGTTTCTCACCTGAGTGAACCCAAGGACATCTGAACTAGACTAGCTTCTTCCATGTCAGACTGTCCCTTGGAGGTGCCAAAAGGAACAAAATTTGTAAATCTCAGTTCTGAGATGTTCTTTCCAGTCTCAGAACCTCTTTCCATCACGCTTCCTTCTTCATAACCTACCATAGAGTCAATAGATTTCTTATCCCACAGCAAAGGTCCCCTAGGCTCTGACCCCCCACTTACCCCGTCACTGAGCCCTGTGACCCAGCCACCCCCACTACTACAGAGCCTTGAGCCACACAGGCAGCTTTAGCTAGATGCTTCGTTTGCCCATCACTTGGCGATCTCCTACCTGAATGTATTTGATACTCAATGTAAGAGTCACTTCCTGTGAGGTGGCCACCCTCCCCGCAGTAATTAGGTCTCCCTGTGTTTCCACACAGTCACCGATGCAATAACAACACAGCATGCTGTCATTGTGGCCCCTCCCAGTGTGAGGCAGGGGCCATGCCTTTCATCCTGCATGAGGTCTGGCATAGAGGCAGCAGGCCTCGGGAGTCCAGGAAAGCTCTGCAGACGCTGAAACAAGCACGGGTGTGTGTATTCAGAGTCCGCCTGGCTCTGGACAGAAGGGCATCCCCGCTACACCCAGGACACATGTAAGCCAGCTGCCACTGGGACCGCTCCTGGCCGCACTCACTTGATAATGGGGTCCGAGAGCTGCAGCCCTTCCAGGCTGAGATTCTGTAGCTTGGAGCAGGGAGACAGAATGCCGTGGAGGGCAGAAACGTCGATCACTGAGTTTGACAGGTCCATGTGCTGTACACGAAAAGGGCTAACACAGAGAAAGGGGCTCGGTAAGGCGGCTCTCCCATGGAGAGCACGTGCCACCCAGCCCCGCCTCCTCCCTAAATGTGCAGCCAGTCACACACCAGCTCTCCAGATACACTGCTAGTATTAGCTAGGTTCTGGTCATAAAACAAATAGCCGCTAACTTCCATCCTCATTCATTTTCAAATTCAAGGGGATGTTTGCCAAGTGAAGAGGTGACTGCTAGGCAGTTCCAGCTACAGTTAATTAGTGGGCACGTCAGAATGAGCTGGATGTGGGTGACCAGAGGGTGACACCGTGACACCTGGTGAGGGTGAGTGGGTGAAGGGCAGGGCGCACACTAAAGCAGGGGCCACCTGATTAAGCAAGGTGCAAAGGGAGGCTGTCTAGCCGTAGATATACTAATATTGGGGTGTCTGGAGAGTTTTCAGGCCTGGAGGCTTGCAGTGTTAGAAATAGTGTGAGGAAAAAGAATATTGGATGGCTTCACTTAGAGGAGGAGTAAAGAGAAACCAAATAAAGGGTCAATAAAAAATAACAGAGAAAACTAGCAGGCAAGCTACAGAGGTGATGCATGTCATGGGGGAAGGGCAGAAACGGCAGAACTATGGTGATGGTTCATGGGTGGTATGGTGGTGAGAAATTTATGGGAACTATACCTGAGGAGAGAAGTCAAATAATGTACAAATATAAACAACAATGTAAGAAAATGAAAAGTTCAATCAGAAAAAAGAAAAAAAGGAGTTTGAATGAAACAGCTGGAAACGAGGATTTGAGAGCCTGGCATGATGGAGGTGGACGGGAGACCTGGCTTATCTAAGGTCAGTGCACGTCTGACTAAAGAAGCCCTGCTGCAGAGAACCCCATGAGAGCAGCTAAATGTGCACCCCTGAGCCCTGAGTGAAAATGGGGTGATGCCACGCAGCTGGGCTAGTCCCATCACCAGGGCCGTATGACAAAATATGCCGTCACTTCAGTGACGCGTGACAAGGCTGGGTCTCAGAAAAAGAAGGCTTCGACCTGTTTCCTACCTCAAGATTTAGAAGAAGGGGGTTTCTCTTCTTTTACCTGAAATGTTCAATTGATGGTTGGTCCATAAACGATCGTGGGCAGCGGAAGGCAATCACACCTCGAGAGAGCAACCGACCAGTCACGTCTGGATGCAGGTTTTTACCTGTAAGGTCTAAGGTCTGCCAGAGAGACTCATCAAACCTGGAAAAGAGGAAGTGATCCATTTAAGTGGGGACACAGGACATAGCAGGTCCCTTTACACCATATGTGCCTTTAAATTGCCTTAAAGCAAATTCTGAAGGAAGCTTTATTTTTCAGCTGACATACAATTAGTTATGATACTTTTAAGACACAAAAGGATATTTCTGGGCCATATCATGGATAAGCACCACTGTCCTGGTTTTGTGTACTGCCAGTTTAGATGGCTTGATACTCTCATTAGCAAGGCCCACAAGCTTGAACCAGAGAAAAAAATTCAACCATTCAGTTCAGCTGGATAACTTTAAAAATGATTGTTTAATTTTTTTTAACTGATTATCAATTAGATGGGTAGGATTCAAAATGGCCTAAGTGATTCCACTAGCCACTTTTGTTAAGCATGAATAGTTCCCAACCTACCCTAAATAACATATAAATATAACCATAAGTTCAAACTGAAAACTAAATCTTTTATTTCCTCTCCTGCTTCCAATCCTGTGGCCCATTATTGCTTTCGCAGTTCACCAAGACTTTCCCCATGAAGCTCTGTCCACACCTAAGTGTCCCTCCAAACTGATGAAAGTACCAGAAACTGTTGGCTGACATATGCTAGATGCTTCCAGGAGCCAGGCGGTGCACGGGCAGCTCTAGTTTGCATCCTTATAACTGCCCTGGCCTGAAGGCGCCATCGCCCGCATTTTATATATGGGAGTGTGAGAATCAAGTGTTAGGTAACTTAATCAGCTGAAGTGGCACAGGGACTGCGCGCTAATGCCAGAGCCCCGAGCTCTCTCTCCTCACCTCAGACACTGCCCGCCCACCCCATTGAGAACGGCTGTGCCCCTTGGCACCCCTAAAACTCTCCTCACAAATGGAGGTCAGCATCCAGTGGACATGTGCGTGCATCACTGAACACAAGGAAAAGAACTTTCAGAAGTGGCCCAAGGAGACCCCCATCTTTGACTGTAAAATGAAGATACAAAAAACATAAAGATAACCTGACTTACCTGTGCTGCTGTTATTTTTCTTAGCTTTTAGCTTCATGATACCCAAAGGAATGAAGGAATAACCCTCACACCACTTCCTTCTCCACACAGATCAACAGGGTTTGCAAATACTCACGCTAGATGATACCATCTTTTGCAGACACTGGAGACTTTCAGGAGTTCAGGGAGGCAAAGACAGGAAAAGATTCCCAAGAGCAGTTCATCTGGAAGGGAGTCCCATGAAACACCTTTGAGGGGGTAGAAAAGAAGTGTTTTCCATGACTGTTTTCTCCTCATCAGATCCAGAGGGTAAGAAGACCTACAGCACTCATCCAATTACCCTTGTCATTGTTTTTAAGCTCATCCATATTCTGTGAACTCTGAAATGAGCACCCCACTTCCTCCATAACAAGAATTGAAAAACCCACATAATACTTTTCACAACACTCTTTTCTTCAGAGCCAGCCAACCAAGGTTAGGTGAGGAGCCGCTATTATTAGTCTAGATCAGATCCCTACTGGCTCTGGCATCCATAACAATGCCTGAGATTCTGGGTGTTTGTGTGCTCACTAAGGGATGCCAGCCTCTTTCTTTGAAGGGGGTTTGGTAGAGGATTTACCAAATGACCATCTATATATGACAAATGAGTCTTCTTCCGGAAAGCATGCAGAAATCAATTTACTTGAAAAAGCAGTATTAAAGAAGGACTCTCATCTTGTAATTTAGTATTTATTACGCACCAGGCCTCCTGGTGGCACAGGAGTCAGGGTAGTGCTATCAAGCTATGCCAGCCACTGCAGCACAAGTTTGATCCCCAGCTGGCCAGGGGATCTGCCTATTCTGCTCTCTACTCTCCCACTCTGTCTCTGGTGAATTCTCTTACACCCCCTCCTAAACATAAACCTCTGGCCTGCACCCCAGTTCTCGTATGCATAAATAAATCTTCTAAAAAATATATTTACTAAGTACCCACTATATGCCTGGAATTGTTTTAGTGTTGGGGAAAGAGCAGACAACATAACTTCCTGGAACTCATATTCTAGTGGGAAGAAATGGTCACATGCACAAAATAAGCCAATTGCATGATGTAAGCAAAGTGAGGGAGTCAGCTCTCTGAGGACCTCAAATCTGCTAGGTATAGGGAACAGCATGTTTGTTTTGAGGAACAGCAAAGTGATCAGTGAGGAAGAGTGTAGAGATGGAAGGAAATGAGGTCATGACACAGCTCTCTGTTATGACTCCATGTTGGGAGGAGTTGCTAGAAGGATCAAGCATGGGAATGACAGGGTCTCACAAAGGCTACAGTGGGATCATTCTGGCTGCTGTGTTCAGAATGAACTGAAAGGAGAAAAAGGTAGAAGCGGGAAGATAATTTTCTTGATCTTACAAAAGCAAAACAGCTATTGAACAAGTATGAAACTCCCCCGCATGGGTACACAGAATAACTCATGAGATCAGGGTAAGATGGAAACAAGCAGGTCCGGCGAAATCCTGGACGTGGTTACTTCGGGTTAGTAACTTGGCCTCCTGGTGTCTAACTCCAGTCCATCTTGGATGCCATTCTAATGAATCCTCGCTACACCGTGAGGGTTGATTTTATGTGATAACCAGCTCAGGGGCTGCCCAGATATTTGGACAAAGACACTGTTCTGAGTGTCAGCGAAAATGTTCCTGGAAGAAATTCGCATCTGAATCTGTAGTATGAGGAAGGAGACTCCCTCCCCAGTGTGGGTGAAAATCATCCAACCCAAGGTAGAGAGAAGAGGCTGTCTCTGCCTGCCTTGAGATGGACATAGGCTTTTCAGACCCGGAGTGGGATTACATCACTGGCTGCTGGTCTCAGGCTTATGCTCTGAAAATCCTGGCATGTTTCAGCTTCCATGTTTCCACTGAGCTAATTCCTTATTATAAATCCCCACCTTCCTTCTACTTGTTCTTTGTCTCAGGAAAACTATAGGATAGCCCTCCTACATTTAAGGGGTTCGAGCACTGTTCCAAGCTCTGTGAATTGGATGTAGAAGGGCATCCAGGGGAGACGGACAGGGCAGTGCTTCCTCCGGGCAATCCTAAAACAACACTCGAGATCAGAACCTTGACCAGTGCCCCCAAATAGCTGAAAGTGTACCCTGCCAGTGGAGGCTGAAAGCTTTCTTCAGAGCCTCACCCACTGGCTGGGTCTGTTAATCCAGAACTAAGGCCCAGCCATTGGTAGCTACTTGTAATTCACAGAACGAGTCCTTAGGCCTGGTGTCTTAATGCCCCGACCGGCTGTGCTCGCCCCCAAGTGGTAGTAACTTAGTGAAGTTGATCTTTTCAAAGCTCCCAGCTCTTCTGGAAGTCCTCCCAGGATATCACCAAGAAAAGATAATCTTTTTTTTTAATTGCAATTTTTTATTATCTGTTTAGGTTCCTAGTAGGCCACACATTCTTGAGAACAAGAACTGAATCGCCTTTTACAATTTCTATTTCTAGTAAATAGCATGTCTGATACATTCATTGTTTCACATTATTTATTGAACATGTACTATAGGCGGGGGTCTGTTCTAGGATGGAGAAATATAAAGGTGAATAAGGCACGACCTGCTGAGAGCCTGAGAGCACAGACAAATAAACAGGACATTTTAAAATAAAGTATCACGAGGACTTCAACAGAGATCAGAGTGCTGTATGTGCTGGGCAGTGTATTGGGGCAGAGCAGTGATCAGGGCAGCCTTCCTGGAAGAAGTGGCCACTACTGAAGAATGAGTAGGAGTAAGTAGTTGCTCAATTAACGCCTGTGCCTCTGAAGCACAGCGGCAGAGGGATGCAGGTGGCTCATACACACTGATCCTGGACACCTCCTGGCCAGGGAGCCCCATATTATACAGGCATCCTCACTGCTACACATCTCCTCCTAGGTCAGCATGGACAGAGGCTGCAGGGCCTGAAACTGGGTTCTTACTCTGTGATCCAAATTGGAAAAATGCTGATAGGTTTTTCTTCCATTCATTCTTATCCCTGACTTCTGCTGCCTCTTGCATAGGGAGGTCATATTTATTTAGAAAAAAATTACACGTCTCATAATTTGATTTGGCAAAAAATTACATGTCTTGTCATTTTGCCAGTGGAATCTTGGGCAGGTTACTTAATCCCTCTGGGGCTTGGTTTCTTCATCTGTAGGAATGGGAAAAAAGATTTATTTGCAAAGTTGCGGACAGTGAAGGCTGAGGTATGAGAAAGGTTAAATTAAGCAGCACAGAGTTCAGCCTTCTCTTCATGCCTTTCTTCCTTTGCTTTCCTCATTAAATCTGAAGATTTTCTTTCATGAAAAGATTTTCTTTTCAGTGTTGCTTAGAATTTTTACCTACATGAAAATATCTAAGGTCGTAGGGTGTGGGGATGGGTAGACACAGACAAATAAACAAGACATTTTAAAATAAAGTAGTTTAGTCCTCTATCTAAGTGTGGGATCCACAGGCTCTCATTCAAAGTCATTTATTTGGGAAGTGATTCCAGAAAGCACTGGAAAGAGTGAAGAGACATGAAAAGGAAGGAAAGCCAATCTGAGTGTGTTAATAAGCAATATCCCATATAGCACCTGCCCCAGACAAGGGATGGGTGCTGGGTCACTGCTGGCAGTCATTAGTTGGGGTCTGTGGGGAGGGGGGAGCAGGAATGTTAACTCCCTAGCATGACTGCCTGTTGAAATCCTTCAAGTAGAGTCAAATCTGCATGCAGGAGAAAATTTTCGGCTCATGAGGGCATGATGCCTTTCCAGGGGTTAGAGCTGGGGCACCAATGTGTTTATGGGAATCAGGAAGGAGGAAAAAAGGAAGTTGGGGGGGCTTGCTGGGAAGTACAGAAGAGAGAAATAAATGAACAAACTTTCTATTTTGCTGGGAAGACATAACTCAGAAACACAAGAGCACTATTGGAGATGTCACTTAATGCTTAGGAATATTTGGCTCAGCCACGAACAGAGGTTTGCAGAGAGCTGTAGAGGACAGTCAAGCCGGCAAGGAATCAGAGGATACAAAAGGCTTTGCATGTAGCTCTCATCTTTGTCTGTCCAACTCCTACTCATCCTTCACTTCTCAGATTCAATGTCACTTCTTCAGAGCCTTCCAGGGTCATCAGCACTGCTCTCATAGCCAGATGTGTGCACTTGGGACAAAACAGGCCTTTGACTAACCTTTGCTAAATGCACACACAGCTCACTCCCCCTCATGCAAAACGGGAAGATGCTCATTCTGTCCTTACCAACTGATTACCTGCCCAGGGCTAGGACAGTCTGGCAATATCTATAAGAAGAAAGTGCCCATTGACAGATCACAAAGGAATGACTGACACCTGAGAGAAGAATCTGCCTCTGCCTTTTTACAGACAAGACGGTTGGCTTCTCAAGGCCAAATTTCCTCAATTGTGAAATGAGAAGGCCGGCCTGTGGCTTCGATGCAATAAACATTCCTGGGTGCCTAATGAGTGTGTTAGTGCTTGGAGCTGGGCGGAGTGCAACCTTAAACACATACATCACTAGACAAAACTATTTACCAAAAGCCTGAAAAAGGCACAGGCATTTATTAAAGCCTGTTGGTGCTAACCTGGACAACCAGTTTGTGCGGATATTATCCAGTTTATAGATAAGGAAACTTAGCTGAGTCAAGTAACTTCCCCAACTGATACCAACTATTAGGGAGTAGAGCCAAGAGGAAAAACTTGGGTTGGCCCCAAGGTGAAGCCACTGGGGGGCACTGCAGGTGGAGAACAAGCGGAGACAAAACCCAGCACAAGGGTAACAGGCAGGCTGCAAGGTGGGCAGGAGCTTAGCAGAACATGCAACTCTTGACAAAAGTGGCAAGGTCACCCCGCTAGTAAGCCGAACAGTAGGAACTCAAACCCAGCTCGCTCCAAGCCACGCCCTTTCTTCCCAAGTGCCTCCAGGATCTGTCTTCTCCCAGATGAGTCTTAATGCTCTACAAGTTTAGAAAAGGTGAGAATGAAATGACTTCCTATGCGAAAAGAAAACAACCAGCATTAGGGAGAGAGGAGGGGCAGAAAGGGAGAACAGCTGCCCAGAGCCATCAGCGGATTAGCTAGAGGAAGCTGTGCTCAAGGAAACCTCAGCCTCTGCCAGCAGATATCAGGGTCTCCGGCCACTGACCGCAGGACGTGGCTGATCCCAGGGCCCCTGGGGTGAGCGGGTGTGTACTTGTGGGGGTGCCACAGCCTAAGGTGGCTGCGAGCCAAGCAGATGGGGGAGAAGTCTCGCTGCACGGAGCCGTTTGAGCGCACAGCTGGTATCCAGGCTGGTGATATGCTTAATCTAATTTTACTTGCCATTTTTAATTTTTAAAACATCAACCATCTGTTTCCTGACTCTTCTGCTGCCCATTCTGCTCGCCTACAGTAAGTGGAAAAGTCCAGAGCAGGTCTTCTCTTCCCTTAGCCTCTTCGAAACCCTTTGGGGCTGCATGCAGCCTCCTGCATGGAAAGAGACAACTTCAGGGGCAAGAAAGCTGCGATTTGGCCAGGTTCATACACACAATGGTCATCCCTGGCCAGTCCCTATTTCCATGGTCATCACGACTCAACCCAGCTCTTTCCCCTTCTGTAAGCACATCACAGTCTATGCCTCTTAAATTCTCCTGCATTCAAGAGTTTTCGCAGTGTAAGATTTGCAGTCTCACTAACACATCTTTGACACATTCCTTTCTTGAATCACCTACGCTCCGATTCAAATGAAAGCTCCAAAATAACCTTAATCATAAAAACATTTGACTACTAAAATTGGTCCTCTCTAAGCATAGATGAATTCTACCTGTGGAAGAGCAGGTTCTGGGTTCACCACCGACTGGTACTGGGGTTTCATTTCCTTAAGGGTGGGAGCTTGCTCTTGGCTAGTTTGTTTTTAGTAACAACCCATGCTCCCATTCTGGACGACTATAGATATTGACCCCATTTGTGGGTCCTCTCCCCATTCTGGAAGACTATAGATATTGACCCCATTTGTGGGTCCTCTCTCCACAAATGATTAAGGGAAAACAAGAGGCCAGCCTAGCTCTTGGCGTCCCAGGGGAAGGCGGGGATTGGCTAGGTGGACAAACCTGAGAAAAGATAACAAAAGTAGAGAACTGGACTCAACTGTATTTCTGGGACTTTCTCAGTCCTCAAGTATACGGAGAATAGCAAAGAAACCTTAGGAACTGGGGTTTGGAGACTAAGGCACAGCCACATACAAGCTCTCTGAGAGCAGAGGCGATGCCGGTTGTATTTATTCCCTGTCTCTAGAGTGGTGCTAAATAAGTACATGGTGCAAGAATGAATCGAAAAGGCAAAGCGGTGTGGTGGGAGAATCCTACAGGCTTCAAGGAAACTGTCTGTTGAGATGTGTAGGCTGCGATTCACTGGTTAAGTCATGAAATCAACTTAGTTTGCCCAGCACTGTTTTCAAAGAACAGAATAGGAAATCTCTTTTAGTTTCATGACATCTCAGTTTCAGATCAACACCCAGGATAATGTAAAATATATTTCTTATTGGCAAAATGTTTTTTAAAAACGGAGGAAAAACATTTCCCTGCTGGTAATAAAAAGCAGATTTCAGGGCTGAAGGTGGAATCAAAAGCTCAGGAATTGTGTGCTTTAAACATGTTCCTTGGGGACATCAGTGTGCTCCATGCAACTGTGGAGTTGCCAGTCTGAACCACTGCAGGATCTGCTTTCAAGCCTTTAGCCAGCATGGAGTTGCTGATCAACACACTGGTTCAATGGCATACTCATGGTCACCCCCAGTTTAAAGAGGGGAGTGGAGGCATTTTATGACTATGACTAAAAATGTAGTGGTCGTCTTTCTCCCCATCACTGACCTACCACTGGGCCATTTGTTCCAGCAACTTGCACACTCACCTCAAGGGCCAATAAGACCTGGGGTGGCATGAGTTGGTCAGAGTCTTTATCATCCAAAGTAAATAGATGAAGAAGATTTAGCTGCCAGATGTATGCCCAGCTTGGGGCAGGCGGGGAGAGACTGCTGAGGGAAGAACTAAGAAAAACTCGCAGGCAGGGCCAGTGCGATCAGGTGTCTATGTACAGAGGCGTGGCCTTCCTCCCTAATCCTGCCAGAGCTGCTCACCACCTGTTCTGACAACTGCAGACAAAACTCTTTGGCATGATGGCCAGATTACCCTGGAGCCCATTGGGAATCCTCTGTACCAGCTGTCCCTCCCCCAAGCTGCACTGCAGGTAGGCTCACACAGTACAGACTACACCATTAGGGTCCCTCTGTGCTGCTCTCAAATAACTATTTAATCTCCTTCACTTTATAAATATTTTTTTTCAGTCAAGTTTAACAAGGTTGATTTGATTGGACCACTTCCAGGCCCTTCTAAGAGCTTTCACTTTTGCTGAGGCTCTCACCTTGGACGCCCTTCTGCATGGGAAGCTTAGGGTCATGTTGACACGGGGCTCCCTCCCCCCCAGCAAGAGTCACTCAGCAGCTGCTAGTGGATTGGCTGCCATTTTGCTGTGAGCTCCTCCTAATGCACTGTCATTGTTCCTCTTAACTCGCCTTGCAATTTCCTCAGACACACCAACTACCCCTGTATTTCTTTATTTCTGATCTCACTTCCACAGTGCCTTGCTTTAAAAAATAACTTTTTTCTTTACATCTGTATGTGGAGATGGAAGGAGATACAGCAACTACATGTCAAGTTAGAAGTCATTTTCACTGGAAAAATAAATCCAAATCTGTTTGTCTCAGCAGGAAGTTTTTTTTTTTTTTTTTAAACCAGATTTGGTCGGTCAATCCCCAAATTGCTGGCATTGCATTCCAAACACTAAATATAGCAATGGCACTCAAATCTGATGAAAGAAAAAAGAGGACACTGAGAGGATCACACTGTCATAGTGCAAACAAAAGGAAAAATGAAGCAGCCTCCCAAGTGTGTGGCAGACATCTTAGCGACCAGATCACTGGCTGGACTTACCCAGTGTGGTGTGCCGGTCAGCTGTCTAAGAGCTTTTGCTATACTCTTGTATTGAATTTGATCTTCGTAGCAACCCACAGGAGGATTGCCTTACACTTCACAAAGAAAGTAAGACAGAGAAAGCCGAAGTAACTTCCCTTGGTTGGTAAACAGCAGAATTGGAATTCAAAGCCAGAATGTGTAATTTTACCATAAACCCTTCAATGAATTCTAATTAATCCAGTTCCTGATGTAGATACCCAGACCTTACCTTGAAGGTTATTTTTCTTAAAGAAAGGGTCAAAAACTAAAAAAAATAAATACCCAGATTCTCTTAAAGGAAAGCATGCAACCAGCCAATCAACACTACTGCAAAAGAAGTCAGATTGGGGATCAGTTTAGACTTTATCACTCTTCTACAATTTCAACTGCATCCTAATTCTGTGGAATGTAATGTCAGAATCCATTTAATCTGACCACTGTTATCTCCACTCCCACACCTCCTAAGAAATCTCCAAGCTTCTATCCTCCACGCCTAACAGTTAATCTCAACATATTAGCGTGTCCCTATTAAAGGTCATATATCACAGCTCTCTCAATACCTCTAGCTGCTCTCCCTTTTGCTCATTCCACTTTTGGAATATAACTTCCTTGTTCCTTGACTGGTCGCGAAAAAGCTTCTTTGTGAAGTTCTGTTCCCTCTGCTCAGCATTCTCCTCCAAGTAACCATGGCATAGTCCCTCACCTCCTTAATGTTTTATTTAAAGCTCATTGTCCAAGTGAGGCTACTTTCAGTTTACTGTTTGAAATTGCAGCCTATCTTCCCACCCCAAAATTTCCAACCTCCCTTGGCTTGTAGTTTTGTTATTCAACATGGCATGTATCACCTTCTAACAGACTGCAGATTTATTTTGCTTATTGCATCAGCTCTCTAGCATAGACACTTCAGGACAGTAGCTATGTTTATGTTTTGCTCACTGCTGTAAGCTCCATACTAGAGAAATGCCTTGCACATAATCTGTGCTCAAGCAAGTACTTCCTGAATAATGCTTTAAAAATTTTAAATGCATCATTGCACATTTTATTACATGCCTGATATACCATCCAAATAACACCCCTGAAACTACTCAAGTTATATTCTGCTCAGAGCACTACGCAGTGGCTTGTTTTCTTCCCTATCACCATCCTGAGTGTGTTCCTTTGACCTTCTCACCCCTCTGCCCCCACATCTTAACCTCAGAGCCCTTAGGTTGTTTATTATAAATTAATGTTTAAGTGATTTGTGAGAAAAATTGATAACCCCAGGTCAATGCACTATGTTTACACTATGGGTTTGATTACTGCTGGGTCCTAATCTACTCTGGCAGGTATTTATTCACATAATGGAGAAGCTTGGGAATGGGGAGCTTTAAAGGGGGGAATGGCATTATGAGCTCTATATTTCAGTCGTCTACTCTAGCTCTGGGGAATACTTGAGGAGGAGAAGGCTGAAATCATGAGTTCAGGCAAGAGATTACTAGAGTTTGAGAAATATTTAGAAGGCAAGAAAGAACGGCTCAGTGACTAGATGTTGGGGGCTGGTGGGAATCTGAGTAACCATCAGGATTTGGAGTTGTGTAACTGAACAGATGCCCCTGGTAATGGAGACAGAGCATACCAGGAGAATTCCATTTGGGAGTGGACCTGGGCAGGTAAGCTTGGCTTACCATTTGGCTGAGCATTCACTTTAGTAGTTCTCTGACAAATATCTAGAGTGATTATGAGGACCAAAAAAGCTCAACCAGAGCAGCAGAATAGAAACAGAGAATTCCACAGGTTCATTGTTTACATTTTCGTTTATCAGTGGCACCCGGTTGCCCTTTGAGCAGCAGGAAGTTTCCCTGCTAATCAAAAAGGCAGGAATGTCTTCTTCTGAGTTAAATTTCACACAGGTTACAAATCACTTGGACACCAGAAGATAGCTACTAAGATTCCTGCAGACTTCAAGGATAATTAATTGGTCCATTTCTTTGGAAAATAATTTCATAACGAAGCAATTTTAAAAGGTCCCCATCCTAAACAAATCTTCCTGAACAAATCTTCATTCTGCACAACAAAATCGTTCAATTCCCTCTATGTGATCGACATTTTTATCCTCATACATTACCTGGAGAGTTGTCTTTATTCAGCTTAGGTCTGCGAACGATCACAAAGTCTTTGTCATTCCCTTTGCTCTTGAGCCTTTTCCGTGGGGGGCTCTGCGAGTGGCTGAGGTTTGAGAGCAGTTCTTGGGGGATGTTCTCACTGTCTACCTCCTCCTTCTCTAACGCGGAGACCCCCATGCCTGAGAGAAGTTCTGAAGTCTTGCTGGAATCCCATCCCCACGTGAAACTAGTGGTAACGTTGCTGCTTTGGTCTGGAATCTCCTGGAGGTGTTTCCTGCAGAAATGCATAAAACACATCTCCTTGCTTTAAAGAATAAATAAAATAAAAAATTCCATGATGGGTCTAAGCAAAATTTCATGTATTGTAGAAATTTTCACACAAGCATTTTTACGTGCCTGTGATCAGCATGAAAAAGAAAATAACTGAACAAGTGGAAAAATCTGTTTGATTTACGATCATGCAGTAGGACTCAAGAATTTCTTAAAGTGGAGGGAACAGACAGGGGGAGGGGAAGGGCGATCATACAATGATGGAAACCGTAGCAGGAAAGCCCAGTGACGGAAACCAAACAGAAACATACACTGATCCCTGCACTAACGCATCCATCCATCCACGCCGTCCCAAAAGAGGCTAAGCAATCATTTACATCGCAGCATTAGTAACAATATTAGCAATCAGCACTAATCGCGGCCTAAAGGAATCAAGACGGTCATTCATACTCTGCCTCTTTTTGCAATCAGTTTACCTATGCATGGTGTCCACAGGTTCCGAGCGTTTTAAATATGTGCATTAATCTCGGAGCTGCCCGCCTCCTGGATTCCCGCTTTGGCGTCAGGCGGCTGACGGCGTGCTGCTCCGACCCCCTAGACCCGCGAACTGTAGCAGTGTTGCATCCCTGCCGCGCGCGCAAGCCTCTCCCGCCCGCTCTCTTCCGCCGCAGTCTCTCCGGCCCCGATGCCTGCTGGGAACTGTAGTTTCCGCCTTGCCTCGCAGTACGCCTGGGTCTCCAAGACTTCCTGCCCCTGCAGTTTGGCCCGCCTCCGAGATACCCACAACCCTCCGCGGTCGCCGGGCGGGGACCGCCCACGGAGTAGGCGGGGAAGCGGAAGCGGGCGGCGCTCCGGCTGACTGGGAAATGTCAGCCGCTTGACTGGGGACGGGCTTGCCTTTCCCGGGAGCCCGCAGGCCTTCTGGTGACCGCCACCAGTGGCGTTTTGGAGAGCGCGCCCCAGCCACTGGACAGCTGTGGTGGACGCAGTTTCCCGGCCCTTCCAGACGCTGTCGCTGGCGAGATCTGATGGTGAGCCAGAGGGGGAGAGCGTGAGGCTTTTGGGGGTCGGGGGTCTGTGGCTCAGCGCGAGCGGAGAGAGAAAGGACCCCGGGGAGCTCGACCGGTCGCCGCCGCGGTGCCCTCTCCCTGCGTCCCTGAGGGAGGCTGGAGTCCGGCGGGCCCGCCAGGTGAGAGGCTGAGAGCCGCGGGCGTCACACCTGCCCGGCGCCTGCCAGCAAGCTGATTCCTCCGCCGCGGAGAGGGCGGCCCTTCGGACTGGATCCCTGGAAGGATCCGTTCTGATCTGTGGACCCGTCGCCTGCTCGACGTGGGGCTCAGATCAGATTCACGTGGGAATGCGCTTCTGTAAATTGAAGCGCAGCTGGAACGAGGGACGGTGATTTCAGTTTAAAAGAGCAGGAGACCACAGTGGTTCCTGTGCGCGGTGCACAAGCCTGGGCATCCCCTGCAGCCTTGGCAGATCCCACAGATGATACCATGGGGATAAGGAAGGTGACTGTGAGTTTGCAGAGGGCTTCCCGGTGCCGCTCTTGGGGCTACCAGCAAAGCCACTAGGTTTGATAGTGGCTGTCTCTGCGTCTGGTTGCGTCGCTCCCTAAAAGCAAGCTGCTCTAGCTCAGCTGAGAAGACTTTGGGGGCCATTGGAGGAGGGAGCATGTCCCATTCCGGATAGGATGACCATGCGAAATCCGTTGTGTAAACTATACTCCAACTAAGAGACCAGGGGGAATAGTGATAGAGGGAAGGGGGAGCAGAGGGGGTACATAGGTCCAGAAGAAGCAGGCCAGCGTCATCACAAAAATAGTAGAGTATTAGTTCAGGAAGCTGAATGACATACCTTCTTGGTTTTTTTGGATAAATGATTTACTTTATGCTGACACAGAACCTGTGGTGAGGCATGTATTGATTCAGGCTTGATGATTTGATTAAAAAGTAACCACCTCCTTATTTCCACAAGTGCAAGGAACTGAATCCAACCAATCCCGATGAACTTGGAAGCAGATTCCACCCCAGTCTCCAGATAAAAGCCCACCCAGCCTTCACCTTGATTTCTTCCTGGGAGACCCTGAGACCTGCCCAATGGAGCTGTGAGGAAATAATGTCACAGTAATGCTGCAGCGAATTATAACATTGTAGCTAACTCTACGTTCCCTTTTGTTCTTTCTTGGATTAAGTTATTTGAAGAGGAATTGCTAGGACGAAGGGTATGTACCTTTATTTAAGGATTTTGATAAATATTGCCAAGTTGCTGGCAATGAAGTTTTTGCTATAAGTTATACTGGAGTTGCCCCCAAATCGCTTATTTTTACTAGATTTTTAAAAAAAGATTGATTTATTTATTCATACAGAACTGGGGTACAGGCCAGAGATGTGGAGGGTGATAGGATTCACCAGAGACAGAGTAGGGAGCAGAACAGGCAGATCCACGAAGTACACTGCTGAGGGGAGCAGGGGGCGGGTCAGGAGAGGTCTGCCAGGCCATGTGGTCACCTCCGGGGCAGGCAGGGATCGAACTCATGCGGAAGTGGCTTTAGCTTCTTAATGCTGTGCTTTAACCCGTTGCTCCACCAGGGAGGGCCTATTTTTACTAGATTTGAATTGTTACTTTATGCATTTAATATACAAGTAACTGTATTAAATTGCAAATAAGGCACTCAGAGCAGTGACAGAAAATTATTGAGTTGAAATAACTGAAACAGGTTATTGGAGTTTTTAAGGAACCTTGAACATTGCTATAACATTCAAGATTTTAAAAAGACATTTCCTCATTTGAATTTAAGTATAAGGTTAATGATGAGGATCTTAAAACATTTACTCAATATTTTTATATTTATTTTCAATTTTATGGGATCCATAGGTGTAAAAATTTTGTGTCAGAACTATAGGAGCTCAGCTTGAACAGAAATAGATGTACAGTATGTGTGGTAAACAGATTAGTAGGCCCATGGATGTGTATCCTTTCATCCCAAAAGCCAGAAAATGACTAGATTGCTTGAGGACCTACTGAGATAAGATGCATCCTTACTAGCTGAGACTACAACAGGAGATAAGAAAGATTCAAGCATGGACTTGAAGAAGGATTTGACAAGCCATGGCTACCTCTGACGTATCACATGCAAAGACCAAAGAGAGGCCTTCTAGAAAGGAAAAGACAAATAAATGCCTGCTGACAGCAAGCAAGGGAACAGGGCACTCGGTCCTATACAGCCAGATGTTCTGCAAAATTGAATTTTTGTGAATCCCCTGAATGAAGTTAGCAATGGATTCTTCTCCAGAGGCGTCAGAGAACAAACTTGCTGACACTTTGATTTTGATCTTGTGAGGGTCTAAGTAGAGAATTCATTTGAACCATATTTCACCTGGACCCACAAAAGCTGATACATGGCCCATGAAAACTGTAAGATATGGGAGTTGTAATGCCATGAAGTTTATAGCAGTTGTTTACAGCAATAGGAGACTAATATGCTGAGGACGGGGAGAGTAGAGAGATAGCAAACCTTTTGCTGATATCTATGGCAGTATGTATAATGAAAAGGTTTTTTAAATGTATGACTTTATTAAATATCTGTGATAAGATTTTCTGCACATAAAAGAGTAACTTTCATTAAAAAAATAAGATTTATATAGACAAGTGAAAATCATCTTATATGGTTGTAAATACTTTGTAAACCTATAAATGAGTAAGAATTTCAGGTCTTGAAAGTTCCTAGACAAGATTAGCTATTTGAAACAAAGGACAGGTTACTTTCAAATGCTCTGTCTTATTTTGAAAAAATATTAAGTAGTGGGCTATGGATGATGTAGAAAACTTGGTTTTATAAAATATCTGTTTTTCTAGGATCTAGTTAATAATGCATTTGTATAAAATATTTTGTTAGGACATAAAATGAAGAAGCAAACATAAATGACACTATATTGAGAATGTTCACATCTAAAATTCTTATCCTATTTTTAGAGCTAGTATAATTTTTGTTAAAGTAACTTTCCTAAAGATAAGATATATGTAAAATTTTTTAAGATATACTTTAAAAAATAAATTGTTGAGTCTCGAGAATAGAAATTAGTCTTTTCCTATTTTCATAGTTCATTGTAAAGCATGACAATTTTCCAGATCTGTCAGTTCATCAGTTAAGAAATATTTAGAAATTTACAAATGATCGTCTTCTGTGTTCGTCCCACATTTTTTTTTCCTTTTCCAGTTTTTCAGATATGATCCAGACCTGTACGTGAATTATTTTGGTTTGTTAGAGTGAACATCTGATAATGAGTGGTGCAGCTTTGGGACTCGAGATTGTTTTTGTCTTTTTTTTGGCATTGTTTTTACTTCACCGATATGGAGACTTTAAGAAACAGCATAGACTTGTAATTGTTGGAACACTACTAGCTTGGTATCTCTGCTTCCTTATTGTCTTCATACTGCCTCTGGATGTTAGCACGGTAAGAGGTGAAACAAGTTAAAAGGCACTTGTAATCATATAGCATGTTCAAAATGTGGGTCTTGAGACAGCTAAATTATGTAAGGTTAGACAGACCTGTAGATTGAGTTTAAACATTACTATGTGAATTGGATCATTTTATAGGTATAGTGAGAAAGGTAATTTGGGATAGATAGGATCCCTTAAATACTTGGCAGGCTTTTGATTTCCAGCTTTAAACCATGCATTCTTTGTTTTAGACAATATATAACCGGTGCAAGCATGCTGCTGCAAATTCAAGCCCCCCTGAGAATAACATTACAGGAGTGTATGCAACTGCTACCCCAGCTCCAAGGTACTTTCTTCTAATATTGTGCGAGGCAAATTATTTTTTACAGTTTTTACCATTTGAATTTTATGTTTCTAAAAGTTTATCCTGTCCTTACCCCTCCCATACCTGTGTCCTTTCCTAGTAGATTTCTAATTATTTTGTATTTTATTAAATGGTATAAATGTGAAATATTTAGTGTGTACAAGGCTTTTCAGTACATATTAATGGAAAACTTGAGATTGTTTTTGTCTTTTTTGGCATTATTTTTACTTCACCGATATGGAGACTTAACAGCATAGACTTAAACAGCATAAACTTGTAATTGTTGGAACATACTAGCTTGGTATCTCTGCTTCCTTACTGTCTTCATACTGCCTCTGGATGTTAACACATTAAGAGGTGAAACAAGTTAAAAGGCACTTGTAATCATATAGCATGTTCAAAATGTGGGTTTTGAGACAGCTAAATTATGTAAGGTTAGACAGACTTGTAGATTGAATTTAAATATTACTATATGAATTTGGTCATTTAGTCTTGGCTCTATCCCTTACTAAGTACACATCTTCCAAGAGCTATTTTCTTTTCATCCTGTCTTCAGTTTGGAAAAAAGAAAAATGAGGTACGCATTCTTTCGCCTGATTTACAAGGTTGTACTAAAGACAAGAAGGTTAACCATAAATAGGATATTCCTTTCATATTTCACATTCTTTCAAATCATTATAGTTTTAGACTAAGAGCTAATGAAGTTCAAATTATCAAAAGATATTTAATGCATATTAAACTTCTAAATGAAAAAATGATGTTTACTATAGCTGTAATCAGTGATTCAGGTAGCATTTCATGTTTCTTTTAAATTTTTTTTTGCATGTTTCTTTATGTAGCTGTTATTTTAAAAATATAATTTGAATTAAGGGTAAATTTCATATGTAAATATTATCCCCTGTGAAGTGCTATTCAAGATTGGATATTGATCTGGTCAAAGTCCTTCCTACAGGATAGCCTCACAGTCTAGGAAAACTACTAATGAAAGAATCTATGGTCAGAGATACATCGTATCTTCAGAAAACTGAAGCAGAATTATATAGAGATGTTGGCATATATGTCCTAGGGACTGCTATAGTGACTGGTGTAGGTAGTATTCTACTTCTAGAAATTAATTCGTTAATGTCTCCAAAAATAAATAAATAAATAAACACAAAACCTCACAACTAGGATGAATTTGCATTTTAACTTAATTGTCAATTTTACAATTGTCAATTTATCAAATCAGAGATGTGGTAATCAAGATGCACTTGCTTTTAAAGAATGTTGAATTATTAATTTATTGGATGAGCATTACTTCCTCTCTATTCATTGACTAAAAATATACTAACACTGGAAACTTAAATTGCATTCCACTTTAGAACAAATTGTTTTGTTTCCTGTATGTAGTTTTGAGTTTGATGGTCAGCTTTGAATTTTAAACTTTTTATGAAATTTTAAAGTTTGACTCAGTAATTTACAGCTTGTATGTCAATGAACTTTACAGCACAAATTAATGGCATAACTCATTTAAGTTGTCATAATTTATAATTAATTTTCTTTAAATTGCTATTAAACAGCCAGCACTCTTGTTTCAAACCATGGAGTTACATTCCTGATGGAATCATGCCAATTTTCTGGAGGGTAGTATATTGGACATCACAATTTTTAACTTGGTAAGTAGTAATGAAGAATGAGTTGTTTAAACTTTGGCTAAAGTTTAAAAAAAGTCATTATTTCTCAGTAAACCTTCATATTTTAGAATTTATTCACACTTCACTTTCTCCCACTCTTAAATCTTTTTTTTTAAGGATTCATTTATTTTTGTGTAGAAGAACTAGGGTGTAGGCTGGAGGTGAAGTAAGTGAGTGGATTCACCAGAGACAGTTCCCTCCCTTAAGTCTATGAATCTTCTTTCTACTAGCCCAAGTCTCTCCTACCTTAAAATAAAAAAATATATATAGGCAAACAAGAATGGGAAACATAAACAAAAATGTTGCTTGTCACCGTTGACTTTCATTTATTGCTTTTTCTCATAGCCCTCTTCAACTTGGTCTTCTTCCAGCCCCGTTATTCACGAAACTGCTCTTCTTATCCCCATTTCTTTGCATCTGCTCAGCGCAGCTTTTTGAATTTACTTCTTGACTTCTATTTTATGGGCTCATTTCTTAATACTGCCAGATCCCTAGGATCTGGTTATCTTGTTTTGTGATTCTCTCTGAACAACATTAATTAAAGATGTAGTTTCATTAACCTGTGATGCATTCAGATTTTTAGATGTCCATAAAGCTTCCCTCATACCCTCCCCCATTCTTACTTTCCACAAAGAGTAAATCACCATGGACTAATTTTGTCTGTTTTCACATTTAACAGGCCTTTTGTCAACTCCTCTTCAGTCACTCACAAACTTGTTCTTCCTGCTGACCATTGTGACAGTCTTTATTTCTAGGAATGTACTTCCTCCTGCCTTAAAGCCTTTGTTCTCTGCAAAGTTTAGCATTAATGATTTATTATATTTTACCTAATGTCAGTTGCTCCATGGAATGAATGACATGTTAAAATTAGTATATATGTATCTCTAGTATCTGGAGATGATTCAAATACAGCAAGCCTTTTAAAATCATGTTTTCTCCATCTAGGATTCTGTTACCTTTTATGCAATCATATGCAAGATCAGGAGGGTTTTCCATTACTGGAAAGATCAAAACTGCTCTGATTGAGAATGCAATCTACTATGGCACCTATTTGTTGATTTTTGGAGCATTTTTGATTTATGTAGCTGTGAACCCACGTTTGCACTTAGAGTGGTATGTTTCCATTTTTAAAATTAATTTTTATCTCATATTTGCGGGTAAAGATATTCCATTGAGAAATTTATATTTTAAAATTTTCCAGAAAGAATATCTGAATATATTGCTAGGAAGGAAAATATGGAATAGTATCTTTAAGTACAGTTATTACAGAGAACTAATACTTTTTCCAATAGATAGCTTTATGTTAAAAGTGTTAGCCATTATGATGGATAGGCTTGCATATTTTGTATATGAAAAATGTCTGTTTCTGCTTCACTGGAACTTCTGCAGTTTTTCTTAAGTTCTGATTGTAGTTGTGAAGCATGTTTCTTTAATAATCAAGTTTAGGTAGTGCTTTTAAAATTGAAACCTTTTTTCGATAATATACATGATGGGCTAGATATGAAAAACTTAGGGATAGAGTAGTAATAATTCTTACTGTTGCATTACTTAAAGAGGTCTTTGTATAGCTTTTTTTTTAAAAAAAAAAGATTTATTTATTTGTGCATGCAGAATTGGGGAACAGGCCAGAGGTGCAGAGGCAGTAAGAGAATTCACCGGAGACAGAGTGGGGAGCAGAACAGGCAGATTGTCGAAGTACACTGCTGAGGGGAATAACGGGTGGGTCAGGAGAGGTCTGCCAGCCATGTGGGTCACCTCCTGGGCAGGTGGAGATCAAACTCATGCTGAAGTGGCTTTAGCTTCTTAGTGCTGTCCTTTAACTTGCTGTACCACCAGAGAGGGCCATGTATAACTCTTTTTAAACAAAAGATGTGATTATTTTTTCAGGGTTTGAAAATTTATTAGACTTTTCCTGATTAATATTGAGTAAGAAACCACCTAATGAAAAATATGTTTTCTTTAGTAAAATACATGTATATTCTTGCCTGAGTTAGATTTTACTTTTAAATTGAAGCAATGTTTCCTGTGTTAAAGTCCATTTGTGCAGTCACACTCTAACTTTCTGTTAAAACACCTATTATCGGCCCTCCCTGGTGGCACAGCGGGTTAAAGCACAGCACTAAGAAGCTAAAGCCACTTCCGCATGAATTCGATTCCCACCTGCCCCGGATGTGACCACATGGCACAGCAGACCTCTCCTGACCCGCCCTGCTGCTCCCCTCAGCAGTGTACTTCATAGATCTGCCTGTTCTGCACCTCACTCTGTCTCTGGTGAAGCCTCTTGCCGCCCCTGAGCCTCTGGCCTGTACCCCAGTTCTGTATGCACAAATAAATAAATCTTAAAAAAAAAAACACCTATTATCTGCCTTGACTCAAAGAATAGCTGAGGATTTAAAAATATGATTATTCATATAAAATCCTAGTCATCCTTTCAAGGCAATTTTCTGAAAAATCAGTTAATATCATTTTTTTGCATTTTGTTGGAAATTTTGTCTATCACAGCTTCCTGTTTATGGGTCTCTCTGTTAGGAATCAGCTCCAGACAATTGGTATAGCTGCTGCAAATACATGGGGCCTGTTTCTTCTTGTGCTGTTGTTGGGATATGGCTTAGTGGAAATTCCTCGGTCATACTGGAATGGAGCAAAAAGAGGTTATTTACTAATGAAAACGTATTTTAAGGCAGCCAAATTGATAACAGAGAAAGCAGATGCAGAGGAGACCTTAGAAGATGTCATGGAGGTAAGCAAGCTTAAACCTTAAACCTTTTGTCATCAGTCAGCTAGTTGTGTTGCCACCTTTTCCCCCCTTGTTTTTGTTTTGTTTTTATTATTTTATAGAGAAAACATTGGTTTACAATATTGCATGATTTAGAGATACAGGATCATCTCCTTAAGAGTAGTATTAACATACCAATACAGCAAGGCACCCATAGTGCTTCATAGTCCATTGGAACATCCTCGATGTCTACCTTCCCCTGCCGACTCTGTTGGCCTCAATACTGCACTCAGATCTCTAGGGTTTGTTAATTGGTTTGATATTGTCTGACCCTTTTTTTTTAATTTCTCTACATTCCACATATAGTAAACCATTTGGTATTTGTCATTCTCTTCTACTTTTTACTTATTATTCTACTTTTTCACTTAATATTCCCTCCAATTCCATCTATATTGTCACAAATGGCAATAGCTCAGTAGCAGAGTAGTATTCCATTGTGTACATATACCCTATCTTCTCAGTTCACTCATCTGCCCTTAGGCACTTAGGTTGATTCTATTACCTGACTTTTACAAATATGCAGTGAATGTAGGATTGCAAATATCCCTTCAAATCCATGTTTTTGAATTCATTGGGTAGGTTCCTAAGAATGGAATTGCTGCATCTATGATAGATTTGTTTTTAGGCTTTTGGAAAACCTCCGTACTGTTTTGCATAGGGGCTGAATCAGACTGTATTCCCATCCACAGTATATAAGAATTCCACAGCCTTAACTACATCTATTGTTTCTGATCTTTTTGATATGGGCCATTCTCACAGATATGAAATACTATCACTCTGGTTTTGATTCGCATCCCTGATGATGAGTAATGATGAACCCGTTTTCATGAGTCTGTTTTCTTTGGAAGAGTATCTTAGTATGGATTGTGCTGAACTTACACCTAGCACAGTGCTCTTAATCAACAAATGTGGAATGAATCATTAGTTATGACTCTCCATTGAATGGAGCAGGTGCTTTGTGATATTTATAACCTGTTCTTTCTCTGATTTCTTCGCTGTATTTTAGATAAAGAGATAATTTAGGTTGATAAAGAGGAATACAGTCCTTTTCTTTTGGGATTGCAAAATTTGTCTGCTACATTATGCTTTTAAAATGATGCTTATTCTTCTTTATGTATCAAGTAAGGAAATTATCAGAGTCTTATCTGGAAAGTAGATGAAGATAATAGCAGTTCATTAACTTTGTATTTTTAACTGTGCTCTTAAGAATTTTTATTTGGTAAAAGGAACTTTGTGTATATGCTAAGTAATTTGTGTTGAAATTATACTTGCGAGAATATATATTTAGTGCCTAGAGCATTCTCACTTTAAATGTCTGATCTAGAGAAATGGCAGTATTTTTCTTTTAATATTCTTACAGGAGGTTCGTAAAGTGAATGAAAATATCAAATATAACCACCCACTGAGAAAATGTGTTGATACAATACTTAAAAAGGTAAAGATAGTGTATTCTTATCTGTTTTCTTTTGAAATATAAATTCAACTTAATATTGTAATAAAAGCCTCAGAAAAAGTATGAGATAGCCTATGAGTGAGCACTTCCTAATTTTCTTCCATTTTCCTGAAAATATTAACCATAAATCAGTAGTAGTTTGTATATAGAATTTCTTCTTTTGCTATAAAGGTTTAGTATTAATCAATTGGTAGCATTTTTCTTTTGAAATGTGGGTTTAGTGGTTATATTAGTAATGTATAATTGTTTGACACAGAAATGGAACTGGTCCTTTCCAGTTTGGAGAAGACTCACTGAATATGTCCTGTAAAAAATAAAGTAGGCTTCAATAGCTCCTTCAGTCAGTTTCTTATATGTGATTTTACAATGTATCATATGTCATAAAAGGAATGACATGATGGAATATTTAACACAGATATTTTATAAGCGATGCAATTTGGGTTTTGATGCATTGGATATTGAATTAGTAATATTGATATACTTCCAAATATGATTATCCCCACACTACTTTATTTTCCCATTTTTAAATATACTTCCTGATTGTTAGTATTTCTTTTGGCTAAGATGATAGCCATTTTTACTACATTTCAAGACATACTCAGGGAGGTTGATTAACTTGCTCACTTTTATGTAGATAGTAAATTATTAATAGTGGGGTAAATAACTTCAAATCATGTATTCATTTCACTGTACTATAGTTTTTAAAAATTCAGCATCTTTAATTGTTCTGATACTTCATTACTTAACTAGGAAAATAGTTGACAGTTTTGTCAGGTGCTTCCCTAAAACAGCCCTTTCAAATATTGTAGCTTTATATCAATAAACTCCCTGTTTCTGTCCATCCTCAGTTGATATATTTGAACATGTATATTCTTGTTAATAGAGCTAAAAAAGCTTAATTCAGCTTTAAAAACATTTTCAAGAAAATGTCACTAACTAAATATCCAATTTTTTAAAGATGTCAGGAAATGAAGATGTTTTTGATTTGAAAATTAAAAATAGCCAAGAATGAAAGATTCTTAATAAAATATAAAATTTTTATCTTATGCAAATAAAATTTTAAAAATCTACTGATTTCTTTAGTGCCCTACAGAATATCAGGAAAAAATGGGTAGGAACATGGATGACTATGAAGATTTTGATGAAAAGCATAATACCTACCCAAGTGAAAAAAGTCTAGTAAAGCTCCATAAACAGGTAATTTTATTAATTATGGCTATTTTACTTACTGATTTTGATTTATAATTGCCCTACACAAAGGGAATTTTTAGTGAATGTGTATCTGAAACTTTATCATATCCTTATTACTCTTGGAAGTGTTTTGACCTTGTCAAACAAATGTTTCTTTACAAAAGTACTGTTGGCATTTGGGGAGGGAGAATTATTCACTGTACATAGCTGTTACATATATTATAGAATATAAATATCCCTACACTGGCACCTTTTCATTACTGTTATAACTAAAACATCCATAGTAGGGAGTTGAACCACTGTTGGATCTGAATACTGATAAATATACCCTCTATTTTCTTTTTATGCAGGTGATTTATGCAGTTCAGAGGCACCGTCGAACTCAAGTACAATGGCAAGTTCTTTTGGAACAAGCATTTTATCTAGAAGATGTAGCAAAAAATGAAACTAGTGCTACTCGTCAATTTGTCCACACCTTTCAATCGCCAGAACCAGAAAATAAATTTACCCAGTATTTTTATAATCCTACAGTTGGTATGTATTTTATATAGATTTAAAAGTTAATGATAATTTTTGTGAAGGAAAAAGCTAATTTTATTTGTACGATTTGACATTTACCTTATGATAATATTATCTGACAAACGTATTCCCAAGAAGTATTTTATGTTTCATACAGTATATAACCTCAGTTTCTGTTGTTATCAATATTTCACAGTTAACCAACTCTATGCAAGAACTATGCAATATACTCAGCATATTTTATAGATACAATCTATACTTATGATATTTGGAATTATAAGCAATTTATATAACAAGATTGGGACTCTTCTTCAATCTCACATAACACTATAATATTCCCCTAAAACACCTTTGATGATTTAGATTTCTTAGTTAATTACAAAAGCCATATCAATAGTAATAATTATTTTATTCTCCTTTATGACACTCTTTAAATGTAATCAATTTGGTGTGAAGAACTTAATGAAATACAAGTACCACAATATTAAAGCTTCTGTTTACCTTATTTGTTTATATAAATATTTATGACCACTTTTCTCTTTTGCATATTTGGTGTTGAGTATGAAGATAAACTGACCCCTAACAAATATGTCAGAAAACTTCTTCAGTGAAGAACTTATTAAATAAAGAAATCATATAATACTTGTTTTCATTCATTCAACAAATGTTAGAACAATTACATGCTTTATAGTACCAGTTGTGATGTACATTAGTGAACAAAAATGATAAGCATTCCTGTTGTTAGAGAGTGAGAAAAATAAGCATAACACAGATATAAGTAAGCTGCTATATAGGTAGTAGTTGGCCATAGAAATACATCAGTACACTGTATCATCTCCAGATGTTATTCAGATTTTGCTAAATATCCTGATAATATTTTGTAAGAAATCTCAGTTCATGCTTTGCTTTCATTGTTCTGTCTTCTCTCATCTGGAACAGTTTCTCAGTGACAGTTTTGGTTTCATGATATCAATGTTTCCAAAGAACATAGGATACTCACTTGCTTACTGAGTATCACTGAAGTGATGCTTCCCTATGACAGACAGGCTTTTTGGGCAAGGACACTGAAGCAAGTGATGTCATATTTTTGTTGTGCTTGATAGCAGTACACACATAATTCCAGTTTGCCCCATTGGTGGTGATTATTTGGTGAGGATGGTGTCTTCTGGTTCCTTTGCTATAAAATTACTATTTTTTTCTTTACAATGATATATCTTACATAGAGATATATTGAAACATTGTAAATACTCTATTATGCTTGTCATTTTCCTAATTTTTTTTTCTTTTATCTTCCAGAATGGTACTGGGAATGTCTTTTGCGACCATGGTTCTATAGGATACTTGCTGTGGTGTTGTCCATCTTCTCTGTGATTGTTGTGTGGTCAGAGTGCACTTTCTTTAGCACTACGCCTGTCTTATCACTCTTTGCAGTCTTTATACAGCTGGCAGAAAAAACATACAATTATATTTATATCGAGGTCAGTTTATTTTATATCTTCATTAACATATTTCAGCTTTTAGTGTAATCTTTAATTTTCATATCTTTTCATACATCCTAGTAATAGTGAGAGCAGTGAAGTTTTCCACCGTGATGTTATCCAGACATCCAAAAATGAGTCTCATCAACTTACACAGAACTTTATTTGAGAAGGGATGGAAAGGTGCAAAATAGTACAAAATTCTCTAATGAGCTTTGATCCTGTTTATATCTGAAGCTACATACCTTATAGTTTTCATGTGGAGAACTGCAAAAGGATAAGACGTCAGGTTTGCTGGGGGTAGATTTGAAACTTACTTCTAGGATGTGGAACTGCTGGATGAGAGGTAGATTTTTGTCATAACTTTATCTTCTTAGGTAATTAAAAAGAAACTCCTATGTTTAAATTTTAGCTGGAAAAAGGATAATGTTTATGATAGAGTACAAAGTGGTAAAGTCTCTTAAACTTTGTTTCCCCCCACAGATTGCTTGCTTCCTTTCCATCTTCTTCCTGAGTATCTGTGTTTATTCTACTGTGTTCAGGATTCGTGTATTTAACTATTACTACTTGGCTTCACATCACCAGACTGATGCTTACAGCCTTCTTTTCAGTGGCATGTAAGTAGGATTGTGTTTAGAAGCAAGAGAAATGTCTCCATTACAGATTTCTTATCAGCCTCCCTTTTATTTTTTGTTGTTGATGGGTGTCCTAATAACATTAATATTTCTATGAGCTAATTATGTTTAAGAATCAATTAGGTATTGGTGATTGTTACTTCAATCCTGCTTGAAGTTTAAGGTTAAAATAGGTATGCTAGGTTAGGAAGGACAAGACATAATGAGCTAAATTTACCAATTAGAGACTCAGTGAATATATTAATAAGTAAGTGAAACATTTGAAACTTTAGAGAATAAATCAGATCTAGAGCATGTTCTGAGGTTCACTGGCCTTGAACTGAATGGTGGAGGATTTGGAAAACCAAAAGAAGTTATTTATTTTTTTTTTTTAAAGATTTATTTGTTTGTGCATACAGAACTGGGGTACAGGCCAGAGGCTCAGGGGCGGTGAGAGGCTTCTCCAAGGATAGAGTGGGGAGCAGAACAGGCAGATCTACGAAGCACACTGCTGAGGGAAGCAGCGGGCGGGTCAGGAGAGGTCTGGCCCGCCATGTGGTCTCCTCCGGGGCAGGCGGCAGGCGGGAATCGAACTCATGCGGAAGTGGCTTCAGATTCTCAGTGCTGTGCTTTAACCCGCTGCGCCACCACGGAGGGCCAAAAGAAGTTATTTTTACTAAGAGATTTTGTAAGAGTTTGCAGAGGTGACTCCAGCATGGCCTAGATTGCACAATCTGTTATTTGTCTGTTTTGGAAAACAATCATAAAGATATTCATAAAGGCTGGATTTGGGGAAGTTCACAGAGAAACTGATACCTGAATCATCTTCAAGACTTTTTTTTAACCTTTCCCCCCAAGTGATTGTACATTCAGGAAATTGCAAATATACTTAGAGAGTCCCTTAAGCTTTACCCAGCCTCCTCTAGTGGAGATGATTTATACAGCTATTGTATAATATAAAAAATAGGAAATTGACATTGACACATTATTGTTAACTACTACAGACCTTATTTACTTCTCATTTTTAATCTTTCATGCATCTGTGTATGTATGTGTAGATCCCTTCAGCCACCACAATTAAGAGAACTGTTCTATCACCACAAACGAACTCCTCTTATTACTCTTTGTATTTTATCCTCCATTAATTCTCTTCTCCTCTAATTCTGTAGTTCTGAAAATTTCTCATTTTTTTTCTGAACACACCAAGCTCTTATATACCTGTATTTGTCAGCATGACATTCTTTTAAGACATCTTCAGATCCTTTGTGTACCAAGTACAGTTAACCTTGTGGATGTTTCCACCCTTGTCTCTGCTGAGACAGATTGCACAGATGGTAGACTTAAAAGAGGGACATATGAAGACACTCCATATGGGGACAAGCAGTGGCAAGCACCAAAGTTTGAAGCTGGGGTTCTGCCATATGGTGGTAATACTTTAGGGGAATGGGATTAATAGGATTTTCCAAAAGTCTTCCAAATAAGTAAGTCCAGTTAACATTAAGAAGAATTTAAAATATCCTTTCTGCCTATGATGCCACTGAATAAGCATAATAAAAGTCTCCCTTTCCGCTTCTGTTATATCTGAGTCTAAGAAGTCAGAACGGCTGTGGAAGCTCCTGATTGGAGCTTTAAGCTTTGAAACAACCGATGAGCATCTGAAAAGCCATTATAAGCAATGGGAAAGACTCAGACTCTGTGGTAATAGTCTCATCATGATGGTGAATAAATGTCTTTAAAAAAAGAATTTGAGGGCCCTCCCTGGTGGTGCAGTGGGTTAGGACGCACCACGGCAAGCTGGTGGCAACGGCTTCAGTGCGAGTTCCATCCCCTGCCCTGGAGGTGGTCCACATGGCGCAGCAGACCTCTCCTGACCTGCCCACTGCTCCCCTCAGCAGTGTACTTCCTCCATCTTCCTGTTCTGCTCCCCACTTGTCTCTGGTGGAGTCTCTCACTGCCCCTGCACCTCTGGCTTGTACCCCAGTTCTGTCTGAACAAATAAATCTTTAAAAAGAAAAAAAAACTTCAAAATTTAAAAGTACAAGAAATTAAAAAGAATTTGAGATATATGTGACACAAATAAATGAAAATAATAGTTACAATGATACAAAAAATGTTCTTGATGCCTTTCCATATATCATGAAATACAAATGTATTTTGCTGTATTTAAAAAAATATATTCTCGTCATGATCTTTATTACAGGTTATTTTGTCGTTTGACTCCTCCTTTATGTCTCAATTTTTTGGGTTTGACTCATATGGATTCATCTATCTCTCACAAGAATACACAACCAACTGCTTATACTTCCGTAAGTATGGTCAGAAAGCAGATGTTTAGATTCATTATTTACATGAGATGTTATTGTGAAATTTCTTTTAGTGCTGATGGAAAAATTCTACAGCATTATTAGGATCTTTTTTAATAACTAAAACTTTAAAAATATGATATGCATATACTAATTACTGAATAAAAGTGACTTTACTTTCTTTTAAAAGAAAATTGGTTTTGATTCATACAGATTCTCTAGCTAAGTAGTATCAATAGACTTGACCTGTAATAACTTTTATATTTAGTCATATTTCATTTTCATTAGTATTTATAAAATTTAAATTTTTAAGAGAAAACCTTACTAAGCAAATTAACATATAATTAAAATGTAACTGTATTAGTTTACGGTGTATTTCGTGTTTGATGTATGTGTATAAATTGCAAATGGCTAATGACAATAAGTGACATCCATCACCTCATATACTTAGAACTTTTTTCAGTTTTTCTACTTTCTAATTTTTCCTCATTCTTAAAGTAGTTTATTTAAACTTTTTGAAAGTCCAAGATTATCAGTGTAACTGGTAATGGATAAATTTTGTATGATGGAAAATAATAAAACATAGCACTGTACTGATTAAACTTTTTTCTTGCTCTTCAGATTATGGGTTCCATGAAAGTTTTATCCTTTATTGCAGATGGATTCTATATATATTATCCTATGTTGGTGGTAATCCTCTGTATTGCCACTTATTTTAGGTAAGAAACTTAACATTAAATATTTTTACTCATTTTGTTAGCCTGATCTAGATATTGTTAAAGTCCTAACCTCCTGAATGTTCTTTTTTTTTTTTTTTTAAAGATTTATTTATTATTTGTACAGTACTGGGGTACAGGTCAGAGATGTGGAGGGTGAGAGGATTCACCAGAGACAGAGCGGGGAGCAGAACAGGCAGAACCACGAAGTACACTGCTGAGGGGAGCAGCAGGCGGGTCAGGAGAGGTCTGCCGCGCCATGTGGGCACCTCCAGGGCAGGCGGGGATCGAACTCATGTGGAAGCGGCTTTAGATTCTCAGTGCTGTGCTTTAACCCGCTGCGCCACCAGGGAGGGCCCTGAATGTTCTTTTAAATATTCACTGGAGGGTCACTGTGAATTTTTGCAGGTCTGGGGGTAGTTTAAAGAGATTGCTTGAGTAATCATGTTAGCTTCTTTCTCTGAAAATATTTTCAAGGAAAGAGAGGAAGAGTTTTCTGTAATAAATATTTAGGCTACAGAGTGATAGGATTAACTTTACAGATTGTTAACTTTAAATTCTGGCTTTTGACTCTACCAGACAATGTAGCTTATCACATACCCCCATGACCAGCTTTTATCCAGCAACTTATATTAGTTTTTGGGCTTCTCCCACAATTATTGTGGAGTTTCTAGGTGTATCAGACTACAGTCTAGTCAGCACGAAGGGTTACATGAAGGACAGTGGAAATCAGACAGTACATGTGACCTGGAAAATTCACTAATTTGTTTTTATGGGATTAGAAAAAGCAGTAGAATCTTGGTAGAGGTAAGATTGGAAAGAAGTTAAAGGGCATGTTCTAGCTCTCTGTTTTCCTTACTTTCACATATCAGGTGCCTTCTATACGCTTATCTGCTCTCTTCTCTTCTAAAGTGTTCCATGGCACACCAAAAATACCACTTTTTAGAGAAATAGTTTATTCATATTAATTGGCTTGCTTCTCTGATGAAAATGTTTCATCCAGCTGTCTTTAAATCTCCCAGTACCATTGTGTGGTTGTCAATAATATACAATTGGTAAAGTTAGGGTATTGAATAAATTATATAAATAAATAAAGTATTTTATATAAATAAATAAATATATTTTATTTATATAAATAAATATATTTTATATAAGTAAATAAAGTATTGCTTGAAATTAATTCTCTATTGAATTTTAAAAGACATGTTTATTTTACTTTTTCCTATGTAAAAGAACCAAAGGGTGTAATTTAAAATAAAATTGTAAATTTAAACTGATAGTAAGCCTAGTATTTCAAGCTTTTTCTTTAAAGGTAGAAAATGATACTTTGAATGTTTAAGGCTCAGATCTGATTATATGCATATGAAAGGCCTATAAAATTATTAATGGAAAATTAAGAGCTTGTGATCTATAAATGATGTCTTTTCATGTTAATAACTATGTTATCAATATCAGCATCTCTTATTACCTTCTTAAATTGTTATATAGATCAAGTAGTGGGTGGGATTTTTTTTGTCAGGTACAAAATCTTAAATAAATTTAAGGAATTATTGTCTAAAAATAAAATTGTTAAACTTAAAAATAATCAATTAAATGTATTCTTTTAAAGTTAATTAGGATAATTTAATATATCAATTTGTATTTAACGTGAAAAAACTTTCCATATTCCTCATTTTCAAATTATCTTTCAACATATTCAGTTATAGGCATCTATAAAGCAGTGCTTTTTAATATTTCATTGGTATCTTGACTTTATAAATCCATTTTTTGTAAATGCATCCATAATTAGTCTATACTAACCACATAGCCACACCCAGAATTAATATGGAGAAATTAACTGTCTAGAGAATGTAAAACTACCTTGTAAAATTTTAGACAAAAGTAAGACCTTCCCAGAAACAGTGATCCAGTTTGGGACTTTTCATCTGAGTCATAGTATTCCCACAAAGATATGAGGATGATAAGGGAACATTGAAAGTCACATAATTAGTATGATTATCTCTCTTAAACCTGATAATATAAAACATTCCTTATATACTATAAAAAACAGATGTATTCTGAATTAACCAGGAATGTATGTATTGTGAGTGTAAATTAGGCAATCTTCACAATATTTTAATTGTTCCACTTGCTTTCTCTTGTGCCACTTTCTCTTCCTTGTACTCATTCTGAGTTTGTAATAAAATATATTTTAGTAGAACTGACTAGCTCTCAAATGAAAAATACAAAAGAAAATCAATGTGCATGATTAAGGTTTCGAAACCAGAATGTTACACACTTGGAAATTTTGATTGTGTATGTACATTGTCCATGTTAAAATTACTTCTGAATACAAGAAAAGATTAAAGCTGCTTTTGGATTATAGTCATTGTTTAACATCCTTATATAAACATTCTCTCAAGATATGCTGATATCCTGACTTAATTTATTTCTGTAAGAATATGGTGCATACCCTGGTCGGTAGTGTACTCAGCATATAAACATCTTAGAAAGAAAAAATAAATACATTTTTAAGTGTAGCTTGCTGTAAGTTGCCACAATAACTAATGGTCAAACATAAGTGTTTTGGGGAAGCAACTAAACTAAAGAGCAATTAGAACAATGTAACATTTATATGATGTGAAATAATGCTTGTCTTTTTGGAAATCTGCTTCTATTAGTTTGGGGACTCGATGTTTGAATCTACTTGGTTTCCAACAGTTCATGGGAGATAATGATATGACATCAGATTTAGTTGATGAAGGGAAAGAATTAATCAGACAAGGTAAGATTTGTCTTTTAAAATAAATGAAGGAATAGTGTTAAGACTCAAAATGTAAAGTTAATGTCTATAACTTGTTAATTCTAATTTATCTTAAGAAATTATAAATTAATGGTTTTAGCTAAAAATCTATGTAGCCTTTATAGAAAAGATAATTTGAAAATAAAATGATGGTTTCATCTGTCTTTACGAAATTCTGCAGCAGAAACTATTAGTATATCTAAGTAAATGATGCCCTCTGTAGTGTTGGAGTAATTTTTATATTCTCAAACAGATTTGCAGAGTTCAGTTCAATTGTAAAACTCATTTAATTAAGAAATACCGTTTTAATATAGGTCTATAGGAATTTGATGATTATTTACAAACTATTAGAATACATGGCACTCTGTTTGAATTTAATCTTATAACTAAATGTATCAAATTTCCTAATGGTCAAGAAATGGTAGGATAGCAAAAAGAAAAACAAAACAAAACAAAACAAAATTTGAACTTGGAGACATCATTTCTTAGGCATAGTCTCCCTAAGTGTGTCTGAGGCTTTTTGTGATCATTAATTAATGTAAGCCAAAATGTGTTAAGCCTCTAAAATAAGCTGATGTAACCTTTAAGTGCTCTCATAGCAAGGTGGTGTCTAGTTGATGTAACAATTCTGCTGTTTTTAGCATTAATTAGACCTCATCTAGAAGTATCATATCCAGTCCTGTGTAAGATTTCCTAGAGTGAGATTGATAAGCCAAAGGTATTTAGAGAACGATAGCCAAGTTGTAACTCTGGCCAGCTAAATTTACATGATTTTTTACATGTAAACATTTACATGTTTCGATAAAACTAAATTTTCATGATAAAATAAAATTTACAGAGAAGCAAATGTCAAGTCACACTAAAGGAAACCTTTTCCTTCATTAAAATCATTTAAACAAAGCCAAAAAACTATCTATAAAATAAAGTTTTCTCTAAGGAGCTAAGAGGCCTCCGTGGTCTTTTCCAACAATCATCTGTTACTTTGACTTTGTGGTAATTTAAAAGAAATTGACCAAACCTTGATACCTTTACTTCAGTGAATCTGTATCTAATTAAACAATACAATACCAAATTTGAGACAACTTTTCTGTCTTTAGAGAAGAGAAAAAGGCAAAGACAAGAAGAAGGTGAAAATCGAAGAAGAGTAAGTACAGTACTTATTAAATTGCTGTAACCTAAAGGTTAATATTAAATATAAGAATCTTGTGGATCTAGAAAAATGATTAAAATCTGAAAAATAATGGGCAATTACATAGGACATATTTTTAACGAATGGTGACTTTAATGCTTTTCAGTTGTATATGCTTAGGTGTCTTATCAAGACCTGTTTTTAAAAGTCATTAGCATTGAGTTTCTCAATTACCTCATCTAGTAGTTTCTTGCATAAGGCAGGTATTTGGTAAATATTTGTTGAATAAATGAATTAATTCATATAATCTTGCTGTTGAAGTGGATTTGATTGCTTTAAAATTACTACTTTTTTTCCATAACATGACATTTATTGTATTCCTCTTTAATTTTTCTTTAATCCTCCATTTGCTGATGCAAATGAACTCCCTTGTGGAGAGTGAAAAAGCAGAGAGAGAGAAATCTAGTCAGTTACCACAAATTTTCAACACCTAAGTGTATCTGCATTGGCGACATGAAGATTCAGAGGCTATGTGATTGTTCTCTTCATGTATTTTAATGTGTTATGTGAAGGGAGACTTGTTCTTACTTCAGAATGCATATAACTAAAACCAAGTAGTAGAATTTACAGGAGGTAGACTTCATCTCTCTAAAAATGTCTAACTTCCACAGTTTACCAAAATTGCAGTGGGCTGCTCACTCATAGAGAGAACCCAAAATCATCTGACATGGCTATTAGAGAAAAAAACCCTGCACTGTTAAGTTAGGTAACTTCTAATCACCCTTTCAAGTTTTAGTGAACAGAATCCTAGTTAATACGGTTTTCTTGCACCTGACATGGTGATGCACAGTTCCCTATGAATCATGACCTTATGTTTACAACTTTAGCTGCTGTTGAAAATGACTTTTCAGGTGTCTAGTGTTTATAGTTTATTTGGATGGAAGAAATTTTGTTAATATCTCATAAAATTCTCATAACTTACAACTACTTGTGGTAGTTGTAATGTTGCTATGACATTTAGAAAAAAGACTAAAATAACTTGAAATAGTCATAGATGGAAAAATGTCTACATATATGTCTTTTTAAAAGTTAAATTTGGGGTTTGTATTCAATTCATGCAGAGATAAGAAAATTATAATTTTTAAAGGCATTATGCTAATTATATTGATTTTCTGATGAATTTTAAGTGGGATAAAATTAAATATATAATCTGTTTAAAATCTGTTTGCACTATTGACTTATTTTCTGCCTTTGAGTTCTTTTGTTACATAGTAGTTTATATTGCTTTCCTAGGAATGGAAGGAACGTTATGGGCATAACAGAGAAGATTCCACTAGAAACAGAAATGTTCATAGTGACCCAAAAGAGTCAAACTTCTCAGACATTAGTACCAACCGCTGTAAGTTTATTTTCTAGTTCTTTTAGAAGTTATCTTTTTCTTAGATTTGGTTGCTTGCATAGACTCGGAACTAAGATACTGACTTAGGAATGCCTTTATCATACTGTAAATGTGACTCTGCAATGATGTTCTTTTTCATCCCTCAGTATAGAAGGAAGAGGAAAGTGAAATGTGCTGTATGGTAGAAGGAGAAAACAAGACAAAAAATGAGTAGTTGTGACTGTAGTACCCTCAGTAATATCAGTGCTTACCCCAGACATAGTCTGGGCAGGTACTTATTACCTAGAGTTTTTTTTGTTTTTGTGTTTTTACTTTTGTTTAGTTGATGGAGACTATTCTGTCATTTTGTATTTTACTGAACCAAATATGTCAGGTACCTTCTCAGGGAAACAGAGAAGATAAATTTTCTGTCCTTGGAATGCTTATAATTTAGTGAGGGCAGATAACAGACAGTAGACAAATGCCAGTGAGTTGGGTTAGGAAACTTCCTCACATTTTTTAATCCTGTCCTCTGCCTCTGGAGAGGTGGGTGACAAGAGCCTGTTTTTGCTGTCACTGCAGTAAATAGAAGGTGTAGTTTGTCTTGTAGGAGAGAACAGAAGGGTATACACCTGATGCTCAGGACTTAGAAAGGGAAGCCTTTACAGGTAAGAATGTCAGTACTTAACTGAGCATTTACTAATGAATTTTGTTTACCCAAAATGAGGGTATTTTTGGCAGAAGGAAGAATGTGACATAAGAGAGACTTGGGAAAACGCAAGTTTTCTCTGTGACCATAACTAAAGATCTTGAATTAATTACATCATACAGAAAAATCTTAGACAAGAGTGAAATTTAGCAGCCTCTGGATTGACTATGAACCCAACTGAAACTTGATTTGATAATGAACAATTTCATTGTTACAATAACATTGTTTAAATATTCATTCTTATTCATATTAAGTCTACTTTGTGCGTTCGCATTTAGATTAACTACAAGGGAGAATTTTCCCTTCATATTTTCTATCGTATTGTTTAGCATTTAATCTTTTTTTGGAGACCCCCATAAAAGTCATCTTTTCTTAATATTGTCTTCACAATCAAAAATGCAGATCCTTCAGAAACTTCACTTTTCTTCCTACCAATCCATAGACTGTGACTCATAAATTAAAAGACAGTGAGAAAGTCTACATTTTTTTCTTCCTTTGCAGCAGCATCCAAGTATACAAGAGCTAGTAATAGGACTGAAAGGGACCGTATAGAACTTCTCCAAGATGCAGAACCTTTGGATTTTAATGCAGAAACATTCACTGATGATCCTCTTGACTCTGAATCAGGAAGGTAAGTTCCGGCTTTGTCTTTCCAACTCTCGCTTATCTCTGAACTTAATAATTTACTGACTTGAGATGTAAACATAAGAAAAAAGCATATTAAGCAGACTTTGACACATCTTGTATCTCCTTAATACTTTTTATCTCCTTAATACTTTTATATTAAAAATATATATAGGTTCTGCTGGTGTTGGTAATTAAAATTGGTATAGTCATAATACCAATTCTTTATCATAAAAAAGCATTGAAATCAGTAGTAGTAAGAATCTTAACAATGCCTATTTCTGACAATCCCATTATGAAAAGTATTATATTTAACAACAGCTATGTGGCTGTTCCTCGGTATCAGACACTATTCTAAGCATTGTAACAGTGATGTATTTTATGATTGTTAAAACAATTGGATTTGAATCCAGACAGACTCGATAACTTACCCAGAGTCACATAGCTTGTAAATGATAAAGTCATGCATTCAAACCACAGGAATCTGGCAATAGAATTGTAGCTTTTAGTCACTAGGCTATATGGAAATAATTAAACAAAAAGCAACATGTCATATGCATGAAGATATTTACTGTATAGTTTTGCCTAAAAATGCCAAAAACAGCTGGGATATATTTATATTCAACATTTGAGAGTGTTATTAAATCTCTTAAATTCCATAATGTGTTTTACAAGACTCCACCCCTTTCTTTTAACATTTCTCTCCCTGTAGCATGTATATTCTAGGCTCTGAAACAGTTGGATGATTTATAATTAAGTAACTCCTCCTTAGGTTAATATCCTTGGAGAATAAGTTTCTGTTTTCAGCTGCTAAATAGATTTTCCAATGCTTAGAAATTATATAGCCATTTCCTCTTAATGTATCCTTGTTTCTCTCTCCTTTATTATTTTTGATGCCTCAGATCATTTCTTTATCCACCTTTCAGATACCAACCTGGTGGACGATACCTTTCAATGTCTCGCAGCAGAATATTTGAGGATGTTTAAAGTTGGAAAGAATTTATGAAATAACTGACCAACATCCATCATATCAGTTCAGTGATTAAAAACATTTCTGTGTCCAGTGAAAAGTGTTATGATCACATCTTAGTAGTAATAGTTAGTGTTCATTGGAAAGAGTACTATCTTTTCTAAAAGGATTCATTACATACCATTCCTAAAGTGTCTGCCTTAGAAGTCTAGTTACAATAGAAGGATTTAATTTATGATAAAGATCAGTATATGTTGAGAACATGTAGTTGCTTGTTTCAGATTTTTTTTTCAGGAAAGTTGCTTTAAAGTTCTAAGGAAAGCCATATAGTCATAACTGAAAAATATTTAGAGTTTATTATTTACATTCACTATTCGTGTTATTTATGATTTATATTTTTGTTGTTTCTAAAGAAAATGTTAGTAATTCCAAAGAGATGGAGACCTCAACTAACCATATTTACAAAACCCATGTCTTAACACAAGGCTTACTTAGCAGACACAACTGAATGTAAAAAGCGCTTTTTCATTCTTGTATGCAAGTTAGTTTTTGCCTGCATAATTAAGGTTATTTCTCAACTGATAGTGCTAGGACCTTTAGCATGAATGCTGCAATCAGGTGATATAGTATTCTTTCAGTCTTTAGTAGTAACTAGGAATTGTTTTATGCTGTTGGTACTGCTTTGTAAAAGATTTTCATTTTAGAGAGAAATGCTGATCTTTGCTGTGTTTAAGTGTTTATCATTCCATTTAAGGCAAACCCTAAACATTAATATTAAATAGTAAAATTTTTGTTAATTACTGAAAGTTCCCACAAAATTATCTAATTTTTAAAGGTGCTTGCTTATGCTTTTCGAAAAAGAACCCCTAGTTATTCAAAGGTAAAAAACTAATCCATTTACTGTTTCTACTAATATTTAAAATTGTGGTTTATAGAAATCAAATGATATTAGATTGGCTATTGTAAAAACTTGGTTAAACACGATTATTATTTTAAATTGAATTTTTAACCTTTGTATTTGAGCCGAAGGTGGTATATTCTAAAGCATCGGTGTTTTATTGCATGAGGGAATGTACTTGAGTACAACATGCTTGTAGAGGGTTTTTTATGTCTATGAACTGTTTCTGACGCTTACAGAATCCACGCTGTGGCTTCACCCAATGCTGACTACACCAGTCTAAGTTTAACACATTTTTCCTATATAATTTTTTAATAGCAGTTACTTTCATTCTTAAGTATCCCAGTTTGAAGATGGGTTATAGAGGGCTCCTAAACATATGACTATAGATTTCTTGAAGGTACCCTTTCTTCCAAATTATAATTTAATTTTTTTTCATTTTTAAGTGTTACCATGTAAAGTTTTTAAAGACACAGTTCTATGCAGGTACTGAAAGAATAGTGTATCATCCGAATTAATGTGATTTTCTTTACTATTTATAACTAAGATTAGATCTCCTTTAAAAAGTTGGATAGATTTTACTCATAATCAAAGGTCCTATAGACTGGCCATTTGAGAGCAAACACACAAACATGCAGTCTTTTATTGGAAATTATGGTTAGGAAGCAATAGGCCAGGAACAGAGATAATTACATATTTTTGGTAATTTCATGATTGACTCTTTGAATACCTTAGGCAAATCTTAATAACCTTTCAGTGCCTCAATTTCTTCATTTGTGAAATGAAGACAATGCTTCTATTTACCTGCTGATCTACCTCACAAAGCTATTGTGAGGGTATTAAGTTGATGTTTGTATACTGAAAAATTTAAAAGGTGTTGGATAGGGACATGATTGCTTCAGAATGGGGTCTGGTTTCTTACTACTATAGAGAAGTTTGCAAGTCCCCATGCAAAAACTCTTTTGGGGGTAATTCATCAAAAGGCCTGTGAAAATAGTGTTGTTTTTTTATTTTGCCTTCAGGTTTGCTTTAGAATACTTTCCTTAAGTATAATGTTTTTTCTTATCAAGTTTCATCATGAAACTCAAATGTTATTGATAGAAGCAGAGAAGGAAGAAATTATCCAATTAATTTTATAATGCCTTCAGATAAATTGATAGAAATGTGTAAGAGAATGTACTATTTTCTTTTGTTATTAATTTTTTATGATTATAGTAATTGGTGTATATGTAATAATTCACAAACAGGATAGGTCCTGTTGTGACTTTTGAGGTATTTCCAAAATAATTTTTGGTGTTTTAAGTTATCCAAAGTATTCAACATTTTAGGCAGAATATGCCGTATAGGATGTTTTTATAAAATCAAATAGGAAGATTACCTCATAAATTTGAGTTCAGAAGTATTGATTTTATACTTATAAATGTAGAGTTTATTGCTGGGGATCTGAGGTAATATTTGTGAAGCCACTTGTGTAAAAAAACAATAGTATAGCTTAGATTTCTGTTCTGAGATACATTAAAATGTAGTATCTATTGCAAAACACTACTACTAAATTCATATACTTCACAGGCAAATCACATTTCTTAAAAGAGTTAATGCTGACCATTACTTTTTGATGTCTTTCTTACAAAATAATAGATATCTGATCAAATTTTCTAAATTATTTTTCTAAACATTTGTTAAAGTTATTCAGTGAGCCAGAAATTCAAAAAGTAGTAATTAACAGCAAAAGTAATAATAATGTTAATTTGTGAAGCACCTGTAAGTTGCTAATTAACTTTTCTTTCTTCATCAGTAATTTGTTGTTATCTGTAGTATATTTTTATAAAAAAAATTATGATAAGAAATAAGGTATAGGGCTAATTATTAGAATTTGCTCTCTCAAAAAAAAATGAATACAGGGCTTTGGAATAATTTTGTCATTTTCAGGAATAAAAAGAAGTAAACCAAAACCAAAATATTTAAGAGCTTTCCACTTATTAAAGAATAGATCAGAGAATCTGACAGTCCAGACCTTCCCCCCACCTCTATAAAGCTGCCGATTGATTTGACTAGATAATCAGTCCTAAAACATGGTAGTTGTGTATCCAGATGAAGTTAAATATTAGATAGGAAAGCCAGTGTTGTTTTTCTTAAGTATATTTTAGTGTATTAATGAAGGACTTTTATTTCTGTACAGTAAAAAAAACCTCATTGTTTTTTCTTACCTTTGATAGATTTAGGGAATGTTCTTGATGATGTATTACTTACTACTTTAAAGAAAAACTGTACTCTCCATAATTATAATTTACACTGTTCACTAATGTGAATTTTGTACTTGTGGTTTGAGTGGACTATGCCTGAAAATTAAAAGGCTGTGTATATTTGCACTAATAGGAAAATATGTCCCTGAAAAATCTTAACTTACTTGAATCTCCAAAGTATAATGAATCATACTGTATTAAATTCTAAATGTTAAAAAGTAAATGGATTTAGAATTTTATCTTTGTTTTCTTCCTCCTTTCATAACCTTCCTTTTCTGAGGTCTCTGTGGTGTGATTTTCAGTGGACTTGACAGACTTTACTTCTACTTGTTTTGTGTACAAAGTTATTTTTTAACATCAGTACACTAAAAAGGAGCTAGATCTCACTACTTGAATAGCAGCATTGCAACTGAAATACTGAAATCGATTTTGGTAGAGAACTGAACAATATTGCATGTAAAAGTGATGTATGCTGATCTACTGTGTTGTGTTTTAAGTCGTTAAGGAGGGCAGTTCAGTTAAATTGAGTTACTCTCAAAGTTGTTTGGCATACAAATAGAGTTCCAAAAGCAGTGATTGTTAAAAGTAGAGTATTAAAAAGAGTGAGAACACTATTTGTGAAATTGAATTCACAGATAACATGCATCATGGTCAAAGTTTTCATTAGGGAAGGTTGAAATGATGTTAAGGGGTTCACAGAAGAATATCAGTTCCTTCTGTTTGGGGTACTTCTTTTCAACTCAGTGATTCTTTTTGCCCACAGACCTAGAAAACCAGACAGGGCTTAGTCTCTGCCCCAAATTCTGGCAGCTCGGTGCGCTGTCTTTTCCAGCACAGCAGCACCAGGGAGCCCTGCCTCAATCCCACTGCAACCGGAGGGAGCATGGCCTCTCCTGGGAGCACCTTTGCTGCTCTGCCTGATTTTCCTAATTTCACTTTCATCTTCAAGACTTGTCTACTGAGGCTGATTAAAGCCTTGGTAAAATTTTAATTTTGTTAAAGCAAGAATATTGGTATATTCCTTTTTGCATTACTATATCAAAATCATTTGTTTTTTTAACACGCTCTCTAGGGAAATTAACTTTTCCTCTGAAAATCTTTTGTGGTTACTTTTATCTCAAATCATTTTATAAAAGGAGTTACTATATTCTGTAAAAGAGTAGAAAGAGTGTCTTACTATGGCAGACATATGTAAAGTTATAATTCTGTTAACCTTAAAGCACCATGTTGACATAAATCTTATCAGCCAATCACTTGAGAGTTGCATTTCTCAAAAGAATGCTTGCTAGCATCTTCCCTACTTAGTATATCAAGTTATAGGGGAGAGACTGTATTTATTTTTTTTTTAAATGTAATCCAGTGGATTTGGTTTTGTTCATATTTTGAAAACAAAGAAGGATTTTTCTCATTTTAGAAGCTAGAGAATATGTGGATCTGTGTTTTAAATTTCAGTAATCTCATATATATTTATAAATTATAGCATTGAAAATGAGCTCTAATATTGATATTGTTACTTTCTGGTATTTAATTTTTATAAAATGTTTTTTGTAAGTCGCTAACCGTAGTATTGCATTTAACCAGTTTTAAAAATTTTCTCAAGTTCTGCCCAGAACCTATTTTCCTTAGGGCAATATTCTGAAGTTCAGTAATCCAGTGTGAATTTGAAATGCACCTGCATTCTTCAGTCTCTTTATACATACCAGTACCCAAAGTATACCAAAAGACTCATTTCTGTGTTGCATTAATAAAGTATTTGTTATAAATCAGTGGATTCAGTGAAATAGAAGATAAGTCTTTTTAAATGTGCATCTTATCATAATATTTCAAAATAGTAATAATGTACATTTTTGGTGCATGATGCCAAATTTATCTTTAACCACTCATTACTACCTGATATGTAACAACAAATGTTACCTGACATGTAACAACAAATGTTTCCTGTTGGACCTGATCAGTGGGTTGCGGATTTAATTATTTTTCTCTCAGATTCTCACTACATTCTAATATCTGTATTTGGAAAAGCTGCAAAGTGCTACCTATAAGTGAGTTAGCGTCTTTGGCCTTACCTATGCATATAATGTTTCTCAATTTGGTTCTGACAAACTCATGGACTTGCAGTTGCTTTGTAGTTTTTTAACTTATTGTGATGTACTGATTTTTTGAAATGTTTATTTGATTAATGTTAAAATATGGGAAATGATGTAGCTTTGCATGAAATAAAGTACATTTCTACAAGTTACTAAGTATTTTGTTGATTGTGTGCTTTACTTCATAACGCCTTTGAGATTAAATCCTTTTAAGTTAGCTGAGATATTATGACAAGTGTACTAGCTGCTATTACAAAAGAAATGCTCTAAAACATATCTATTTTAGGTTTCACATTACTTTTATCTTATGATTAGAAATAATGTAAGTGATGCTTACCAAAGTAGAAAATAAAAACTGAAAATTGGAAACAATAAAGAAAATCAGTGAAACCAAAAGATGGGCCTTTGAAATGATAGTAAAATTGATGAGCTCCTCATCAGACTGATGAAGAAAACGGATTCAGTTGCTTTCCTATATGCCAAAAAGAACAATTGAAATTTAAAATGAAGAAAAATAGCACCATTACATTAGCCTCAGCTAGTGCAATAACAAAAGGAGATGCAAGATACGCAGATTTGGAAGGAAGAAATAAAATTGTCTTTGTGTGCAGATGACAGGATTATCTCCCTCATATGAAGCTCATTGATTATATTTTCATTTGTTAATTTTCAAATACTTATGCCATGTCTTGAAATTCTCAAAACCCATGTTACTTTAAAATTTTTGAAAGTTTCATTTGTAAACAAGTATCCCCACTAAGTTTAGTAGTAGCACACACAGAATCACTATTCTAACTGCTAAACAAATTATTTCTACAACTTCATAATGCCTCTTTCCTTTAAAACATGGACTGTGCTTATTATTGCTTCATTTATTATCTGTAACTATTTGCTTAGTCTCTGTTCTCCCTGCCAAATTTATGAACTCCCTGAGGGCAAAGATCACGTTCAAGTCCATAGAACCTATCAGTGTAGCACAACTAAGAGGTAGAGAGTGAGTTCTTATTGCATGTCTATAAAGATCAAGATTTATTGAAATACCAGACCAAAGTATTAAGTCATGTTTTTCTTGACTAGCCTTTCATACTCAATGAAACCTCTGTGATTGCCCCAGGTATAAGTTGGAGAATTATTCTGATTCTATCATTGAATTCAAGAAGACTCCTTGGATGATTCTCTTTCTTGCCTTAAATAGCTGTCTTTCCATTATTATTATTTTTTCCCCTGGTCCTTTATACTCCTGCTGTGAATGAAACCATCTGATACTTTTCCTTTTCTTTCTGGCTTATTTTACTAAGCATGATCTTTTCCAACTCTATCCATGTTGCTGCAAAAGGCATGTGTTTATTTATTTTTTGGTTGCTGAGTAGTACTCCATTGTGTATATGTACCACATCTTTTTAACCCAGTCATCATCTACTTATGGGGGTGGGATAGGGAAGGGGATCAAAAACAGTGGGGGGAGGGATATGCGCTGGACTGTGGTGATGGCACATGGGTGATTTGGTGATGGGAAGCCCACGCGATTACAACTGAGATGGAAAAGGCACAAAATGATGTAAAAATAAACATTATTTTTAAAAAGTAAAAAAAAATAAAAGCTGTCTTTTCAAAAATCTAATCAGAAGTACTTGGGCACACTCATGTTCTCCTTTTTAGTTTCACGTACTTTTGAAGAAGCTTGCCCTGCCTATAACATTACTGAAGTAATAAACAGTTTCTCATTTGTCCCCAAATATAATATCTTCATAGAAAGAATTTTCTTTGTTGAAACAAACTTCTAACAACTTTTATGCCAAAATTAGTTCATCCCACCATCTTTCTCCTGGACCAGTTTGAAGTACAGTGGAACTAGATGGATGAGTAGGTGGATAGATAGGGTGGTTATATATATATATATATATACATACACACCTGTGCAGGTCTAAAGGTCAAGATAAATGCATTTCTGGCTGCATATTATGATTACTTATATCTGGGTCCTGCAGTCAGTATGGCTTAGGTAACTCACTCCTGAAGAAGTTCAGGCATAGGCACATTGTAAAGATCCGCAGGAAATGTAGCACACAGTCGGGGAGAGACTCCCTGGAACGTGTGAGTGGTCCCTCGTGTGGTCCTCCATCACTTCACCAGAGCGCCTAGGGCAGTGCCCTCTCAGGTATCTTTTCCTTAAGCAAATCTTTTCCTTAGGTCAAAAGGCTGATTGCTAATCTTTGGGTTCATGACACCTGATTCTTGGCAAGTGAGAACCTCGCTTTTCGATGAACTGAACACAAAAGCACCTATGTAAATCCTGCAGGTGAGTCCTAGGTCAATGACGATGTAAATTTGAACCATGTATTAAGTCCCCTGGGAAATGAAGTAGACCCTTAAGCAAACAGTGCCCCAGGATATTAGTTCTCAATCTGGCCGTAAGAGGCCTGGAGCACACCAGGTCCTTAGCTGTGCCGAGGCTGCAGGAGTTAGCCTGGCTGGGCTGCGGGTGACGCTGCTCATCTGCTTCCTTCTTCCTGGGCTCCTACTCTCAGCGGCTGGCAAAATCTTGACGCTGGCCTTGGGTGAGTGCTTCGCAGAAGAACCCAAAGCCTGGCTTGTGGGGCACTCACAGTGGAAGCCCACTTGTTGGAGGCTTGTTCCCAGTTCGGCTGCTCCTGGAGTCTGACCTACGCTCCAGCAGGGAGAAGAGGGCACCTTCGCGCGGTCCCCCCTCTCCTTGGCTGGAACAGATATTCCCGGGAATAATATTCCTGGCCTTCGCGCCCTTTTCTGCCCAGACTCATTTGGCACTTGCCTCGGCGCAAGGCTGTGGAAGAGGAGCCAAGACACCTCCGCTGGGGCTTGCAGCTTCTCAAACCTCCACGTGCAGCCTGTTCTGGGTCAGTGTGTTCAGGTTCCTGGAAACACAAGGAACATGCTAGACTTAGAACTTCTCCAGGGAGCGCTGAGACCCAAGGCAGAGCGAGGTGGTTTCATGACAATGAGGGCCGGGATTTTCTTTGGTATAAAATCTGTAGAACTTGCCAGACTAGACAGGCATGATCCAAGGCACAATAGGCTTCTTCCTCCCTTCACTCTCCTTTCATCCTGTCTGGAGTCTCTGGAAAGAATGGCTGTGATTTCTGCACCTATGTCTCTGGCTTTAAGGTACAAATGTCTTTCATGTCTTTTGCTTTTTATAAAAGAGAGTGTGGGGGGCGGGGGGAAATCATTACTTAAAAGATGCAATTTGACATGGAGCTTCTCATAGGATTTTAATTCAATCCATCTTTGAATTTTAGATCAACGAGGGAATATTTAAAGTTTAGAGATACCAAGGCTTAATGGCACCATCATGGAACTCACCTATGTGTTTGGACAAAAAGATGATTTTTAATATCAGAGAGAAAGCTGTCACTCAGAAGGTGAAAACCTTGTGCTGCACATTGCTATGAACTTGGGCCTATAAAAGGGTGAAAGGGGACAGGCAGGAAAGGCAGGCAGGGTCAGTCTGCCCCACAAGCCAGCCAGCACCTTTCCCCACTGCACCCTGCTCGGCCCACTCCCCAAGTCCACAGGTGTCCCGGGAAGAGGTCTCAACTCCGGGGCTTCTACAGGAATGATGGGCTTGGGTTCCTGCCCGTAGAGGCCCCACAAATCCTCACTCTGGCCTTGGTGGGTGAGGCCTTGGCCCAAGTACCCAGAGATGGTGTGACTCAGGCTCCTGTACCAGGGCTCAGGCTACAGCCACAGCTCATTCCACATGGTTTTCCGGACTGGACTTATGGCCCTGGCTGCAGGATTATGAGACAGATGGCATCTGTGTAGGAGGAAAGGAGTGTCTCCCTCCATCCAGGTGTAGAAGGTAGTGAGGGAGAAAACAGAAATGCGTCTCTCTTCCTGCTCAGAACGTGCTCCATGGCATGCGGCTGGGACCAGAAGTTCGAGAAGCGGTACAAGGACCAGGTGCAGTCTCTCCAGGTGAGGGGAGGGAGGGATGCTCAGAGGCTCACTCTACACTTCTGGAGATTGCACAGTAGTTACTTACAGCAAAATCTGTGCAGGCTTGAGTAGTGTCTCGGAGGCAGGAGAAGGATGCTGCTGGAGATGGGTGGAGCAGAGACGCAATTTCAATGACTATTAAGGGAGGGATGAGGTTTGCCCTGGAAAGCTGACAATAGCTGACCCTGGACTCACAGGTCTTTCAGGAGTCTCCTTCCTGGAATTGTTTGAGGGACCCTGGGGCAGTTAATTCTGAGACCAGAGGCCTCACTTTTATTTCTCTTACTTTTGCACCAAAACAATAAAAGATACAAGGGAAAAATAATTTCTTAGGTGTGAGCTTAGAAATAAGCAGACTGTAATATAATCAAGACAGTGTTCATTTGAGAGTTGGAATCATGAGTTGGGTCTGCAAATGTGTTCCACCGGGGATGGAGAGAGGGGATCAGAAGGGTTTTCTGCAGTCTCTGAGAGGCCACTGAGCCCCTCTCCTTTCTTTCCACCTGCGAGTCTCATCATGCAGCTGTGAGATAAGATGGAGTCCACTGGATTCAAAATAGATGGCGTTATCATAGGGTGGAGCTTCCTCAAGGCTCTTAACCTGTGGGGGGTTTTCATGAGCCATTTAATCACCCCCAGTCATCTGGGCACTTTGACTTGTGTGGAACCGTAAGTCTTGCGGGTCAACCTATGTTTCTAAGCAGGAAACTACGGGCCAGGGAGATGAGACCTTACAGCAAGAGTGCACCAGATTTCCCTAATGGCCCTCACCAGTATTTACTTAGCTTTTTGACCCCAAACCCATATTCCTCACACTTCCCACTCTCATGCCTTTTTCAGTGGGTTTTTTGTTGTTGTTGTTGTTCTTAATTGCTCTATCAAAACTCTGTGCTCTATTAGAAATATAATTAATTTCCCTTTCTGATTGTTAGTAGCAATGAACTGTTTTACCTCTTGAAATATGCTGTTCTCGCCTCAGGCTCCTGAAGGGCGCATTGTGGGGTGTGAGAGCTGGGTGCCCTGCCTCTGTCCCAGGATGCATCCTGGCTCGGTAAGACACTCCTGGAGTTGGGCACACTTGGCCTCCTCTTCAGCCTTGTTCACAGTTCTCACATCCTTTCAATGTGAGCAAGAGATGTAGGAGATTTTACTTCATGTATCTCCCTTCCTTCTG